GTTCATTTGAGTCCATTGTTGTGAGTAGGTACCCTAATCAGATATGATTTCATTCAGGGTTATCATTCGACTTAATCATTTTTTCATACATACTACAATTAAAATGCCTGCCTCGTTGCCCGAGTGGTCGCAAGTGCGACTGCCGGGCAAACGGTCTGCGGTTCGATTCCCGGGTCGGGCAAAGTATTACTTGGTTTTTTAAAAAATCTCACTAGTAGCACGGAGTCTGGAATTGTACCCGGTATATGGCAATAGACTCATAACATAAATAGTGAAAAATGGTTTTTTTTGTACAGTTTCATTGTACAGTGGCATTAGGTGCCGTAATGTGCACCTCTGCCTACCCCTTCGGGGATAAAAGGCGTGATGTTATGTTATGTTGAATTAAAATGCCTAAGTAACTATGTGTATTAACAAATCTTTACATTAGATATTAGAGGGTAATGCAGATGCTGATTACATAAAGTAATTAAGTTAAAATGGTAAGTACCTATCTATAGTTTGACAAGCCAATAAATCAAAAGCAATTCGGAAATCGGCAGCAAAGTAGTTGTTTAGTTCTTAACAAAGAGCCAATAAAATACGAAGATAATGAGTTTAAAACTAACTTACGACCCACACAAAACGATCCTCATGAACATAAGAGAATGTTGGGCCATCAGTAAGGATTTGTAGAAGATTGTGCTATTAGTTGCGATATTATGTGCGCACGCGATATGGGCTCATAGATAATAATAGACGAGAAAATATGCTCCTGGAACAACATGTGTCTACACACACGTTCTTTGTTTGACAGTTTCGTTCTATCCGCCGTCTGTCTGTCCCTATGTATGCTTAGATCTTTAAAACTACGCAACGGAATGTGATGCGGTTTTTTTAATAGATAGTAGATGTATAATACATTAATATAGATGTATAATATCTAAAATATATTAATGAAGCAGGACGCAACACAAAAGCATAACCTACTAAATAAAATAAAGGATTTGATTGCGGTATAGTAATAAAATAATTGATAGAAAAGAGTAAATATTGAGCCGATATCCAGAAAAAGTAGATGTACCATCTTCGTCTAAGGCCTGGGGGCTTGGGGCTTGCTAAGTTACTATCTACTTATTTAGTTTTCAGTTACTCTTTTTCTGACGAGTGTACACGACCCGAGTCTATTGGGCTTACAGCTGTTGATAGAGAAGATAAAAATTTGATGTACAAATTGCCTTAGCCTTGTACGAGTCTAAATCGAAAGCGTCAGATCCGTTTCATTGATTAAATCACTTAACAATGCTACCCTATTAGCCACTGAGGTAAAAACTAATATTTTGTAAGTAAATATATGTCAAAATCATAAGGGATCTACTTAGGCATTACTTGATGACTGTGATAACAAATAATGGCATTGACACGCCTCGAGAGCAATCGTTTAATAGGAAATCTATGTACCTATTATTGGCTGATCGTTTCATCTGCACGTAAAATATGTTTGCGGTCCAATTAGCGTTGATCGTACACCAAAGGTGTTTCTTTGTCATTTGCAAGCTTTAGACAAACTTTGTAAAGTACTTATTGTCTACTTGAACAGGTTTTTTTTTACTAATTACGTAGGTATTTTGTTTATTTTCGATTTTCCTTTCTATAGTGTTGTGTAATGATAAATTACGAATTAATATCGCCACACGAATCGCCATAAATGCCGCGTCAAAATTGCCTTTACAGTTTATAGGTGGATCGGTAATCGTCAAGTTATCTTATGTGCAAATTAGATGATCCTAGCAACCGTCATCGGTTCATTATGACTGTTGTATAAATTGACATAAATAAGGATAGTTACGCACAACAATTTACTATAACTGTACAGTAATATATTTACTATCAATGGTAGTTTCATATTAGGTATACCTATAATTTTATTTTGACCGTGGGAACTTGCGAATAAATGAGTTTAAAAAAAACTTATGTACTTTTTCAATACTAAACAATAAAAACCCTGAAAAAATCTAGTGTTCGTATTTAGGTTACTTACTAACGGAAAAAAATTGAAAGCCCAATATAGCCCAACCATGAGAAAATAGTAGGTATACTATACGTATCTATAGATATTATATGTCGATTTATTAATGAAATACTGCCTTTGAGGCAAATATTAAATATCGGTTTACCTCGTAAATTGTAAATCTTTTCTCGTTTTACGGCACAAAACTATCATAAAATTGTTAATAGATAGTTATTATTTGATGGACTTCTTAGTTCTCATAATATAAAGCAATTGAAATTACTCAACATTTACGTCCCTATTTAAGTACACCTTTACTAATAGATATTTAAGTAATTGTACGTCTCTGATGTGTGTTACATCATCATAATAATTATTATTAATTTATAAGTAAATGAATTTTTCCAACAAAAAATCCAGATTACGTTTTTTGAATTTTTTTTTAGCTAGCTACTACCGCGCGGGTTCACCCGTTTTGCTCAGAGTCTATCGATCGTAACGAGATGTTTTATAGCCTATAGCCTTCCTCTATTAATGGACTATCAAACACAAGAATATTTTTTGAATTCGGACCAGCAGTTCCTGAGATTTAATTAGTACAAGTTGGGTACTAATTAATAATTAATTAAACAAACCAATGTGTGCAACATGTTGCACTATAAGGTTTTTTTATTTTAGTAAGTTTTGTGATTAGAATGCGTCAAGCGTGTCTTTGCATTGTTCTCACAAATACGTACAGTATTGGAATATGTATCAGACATTGTAGAACATACCTTTTTAAAAGAGTAACGAATGGAGTTTCTTGCTCGTTCTTCTCCATTCGAATCTACATTTTGGAATGAGCACCTAGCTTACCTAGCTTCACTGACGGACTGACTGACAGACTATTATTTATTTTGTATTTGTTGACACTTCAAAAGTACCTACCGAATTATGGTTTAATTGAAATAAGTGCTTTGACTTTGACTTTTAAAATAAATCTGTAGGTACCTTTCAAAAGTCAACAAATACTCCTTGCAAAATCCATAATTCTATTCTTAACTCGTCGAGTACCTACCGGTTTTATAGACACAATTAAAGAACAATAGGTCGCGGTCACCGGTGACCGCTTGGTGTTTGACAGTTTAATTTTATAGTGTGTCGTACGTGTACGTGTACCTAATTACTTAAGCACTAACAGGATACCTACTATAAGTGCAACAACTAGTCTTCTCGCTAATATTGTGTTGAGGCAATCCTAAAGGAATGTATGACCGTTCATCATTGCCTTCCTTCAGTAATGGCCGGTCAATTAATAACGGGCTCCGTACCCATTTTATGCGAATTTGTCTTATATGGTACTTAAACATTATTTTGCTAGAACTTGGTGATCTTTTAGGTGCCTTGTGGCTAGGAACTGAAGGTATCTTTGAAAGGAGTTTAAATCGAAATGTGTAAATAGGTACTTAAGTAAACTTATTGCATATTTCAGAATGTCTGATTACCTGATTAAGTTCCTTTGAATTTACAGACACATTTTAAATTGAAAATACATCAAAGTATACATCAGACTAGCAGAAACTTAATCAGATATTGCGATACAGGCCTTTAGTTTAAGGAAACCTATAAGGTTTTTAATTGGTTAGACACTACATAATTCTGATCCTATTCACTTGAAAACCTATACTTACCTGCAACATGATCAAAATAAAAGTACCAAAGAAAATATTCTGCACGACAATGAAAGGAAGAAACATGCACCCGTTGCATTGAACAAAGAACATTGAAAGTTCAAATTATAGAATGTCTCGGAAAACTATTAAAAGTTTAAAATAGACGACATTTATTGTCTATTAAAGATTTACTTCGAATCGCTTTTAGAAACGGCATTCAGCAATGTTATAAAGCAAAATTATACTGCAGTTATTAGGTAAGCCTTACAAAGGTACCTAGATATTTACTTAGGTATTAGTGTTTCAACTATAGACTGGTCTAGTACCCATCTTTGTATTGCCTAGTATTTTCCTTATACCTTTCTAGGATTCCATACAAATCAGTGGCTATTTATAAAAGTTGGTACGCGTGAAACTAAACTTGCTTTGTAGCGTGAGAAGAAAGCCGTTGTGTTGTGTTTAGTCATTTGATTTCTATCACTTGATGAATAAAAGTGCGATAAAATAAGTTCTTATGCGACTGCGTATAAATGTACAAATATTGTCATATCTATGGTGTAGATCACAGATTTATTAATATTTCTGTGGTGTAGATACACCTACATAGCTATAAAATAATTGCAGTAATAGAAAAGTGTATTTTCTTTTTGGAACTTGTGTTTATGATGGTCACTAAATTTTTAACAAAAATTAGTGTTTTTTTTTGTTAAAAATTTAGTGGGTCAGGGTATTTAGTGGATTTAGTTCACTTCTGTCTACCTCTTCAAGGAATAAAAATAGTCTCGACATTTATTTAGGGTGACATCGTTTTAGTAAAACTATGTGCAACTTAGTTCAACGTACCTATAGGTACCTACTATAAATCATTTAGGTTGAAACTTTATTGAAGATGAGACTGAATTTAAGTAGAGATTTAGTATTGATAGAAATTGCATCAGTCTTAGTAGGTATATATATAAACCTGCATAGGCATTGATAAGAAATGCATCATAGGTAGGTATATATAACGTTTGAAGCTTTTTGCAGTCATCACAAAGCGATCACGGTAAATAAAAACCTTAGTTCCTCACTTAGGTAAAAACAGGATAGGTATCAATGAAAGAATTCTAGGCAGCAGTACCTAGTTTAAGCAGCTGGATTAACATAGTATTTCAGAATTTGCGTTGTTTAGTTAATTTTTATTAATGTTTGATGCTCTATTTTTTGTAACTAGGTTTATTGCTTAGTAAATAAGTACCTAAATAATAAAAAAATAAAATCGATCGTCGGCGCTACCTATGTAATCAAAAATAGTTATAAAATACATGTATTTTGTAAAATGTAGGTATTGTAAATATAGAAAATATTATTTAACTTACCATTTTTAACGTGATGTAGGTAAGCTCGATCTGATTGCTGCTGTTAGTAAACTTATTTACTTGTATTCAAGAACAATCACTAGTTAACACAAAAGGAAAAAAAATATTATTTTTCAATTTTCGAACATACACATTTGTTTCCCGCCAAAACCATTGGTGAGGTACGCATGCGCGACGTTACCGCGCGTCGAAACTTCTGCTCACGCTCAAAGCGGGCTTGCAACCGCTCACCCACCAACCGTTTCTCCGGGAGAATCAAAGCACGTAATGTGCCTTATGAAAGCGATGGCCGTGGAAGGTCACAATTTTGTGCACTCATACATATTTTGCTAGATAGTTTATAGGCTTTCATTGACCGCTGAACTGTCTCCTAATCTACCTTGTTCTGAGGAGTGAAAGGCAATGATGCAGATCAAGCTTCACTGGTCATTTTATCGCAGAAAGTCGTCAGAAAATGCATTACATAGTGCATTAGGTCTCGTGACTTGCGTTAAGATGGGCGCGGAAAAGTCGTTTGAATGTTATGCAGTAGATGGCCCTAATTTTCTTACACTCACTTGTTTTACTTACTATAGGAATAATGAGCAACAATGTTAGCTACATAGTTTTCTAGTAAAATATACATAGATACGGTACTATGTCAGTTGAGTGGTTATAGCAGTTGGCTTTCTTCAACGGTCGATTACTTAGGTGTTTAAGGACTTTTTATACCACCAAAACGTGGGCGAAGCTGCTGGCAAAAGCTAGTAATTGCATAAAAACTACAATCCACTGTAACCTGAAATAGGTTCCATAATTAACTGTAAGTAGGTTTAATATTTAAAAGTTTAAATCAAAGCAAGTAATATACAAAGACACATGTCAAAGGCACATAGACGCACCATTGACGTATACAAAAATATTTTCATAAATGTTTAATTTTATAGGTAACATACGTGATGAATTACTTGATGACTTCGTACACATTTTAGATTATATATCTTTAGAAAGTCTTAGTTTATATGACAAAATAACGGATAATTTGATAGTTGTACTTCGTACAAAATTCAGTAAACCTCGATGTGGTGACAAATTTTTAGTGTAAAATAGATTAAGTTCTAAACAAACTTTTCCAAATTCTCGTGCAACAAAAATTTAAGCAAAATGGATATCGAAATGAGTACAGAAAATACCGGGGCGGGTGAAGAGGTTGAGGTTAGTGAAAACCACGAAAAAGAAGCAGGCCAAATAAGCACAATTGGTGAAACAGTAACTGATGAAGGTGACCGAGTCGAAGTTGTCGAAGGAACAGAAGGTGAAGGCACGGCTGAAGTAGGTGAAGTGGTTGAAGGGGAGACAGAAGGAGAAGCCGCAATAACAGAGGAAGTTGATGGAGAACATATAGAGCCAGAAGGAGATTTGGAGGGTGAACAAGTAGAAGGAGAGGAGGTTGAAGGTGAAACTGCGGCTACTGAAGGGGAACACGTTGAAGGTGAACATGTTGAAGGAGAAGAAAAAGAAAAAGGTGAAGACATAGACAAAGTGGAAGGAGAAGAGGTTGCAGGTGAAGGTTTGGAAGGTGAACAGATGGAAGGTGAAGAATTAGAAAAAACCGGTGAAGAAGGCCTTGTACCTGAAGAAAAAGTCGAAGAGGAAGAACAATACGTCGAGGAACCACCTCCTGATCCGGCTGCTCCATATGATTTCAGTGACTCTAAAGAAGCCTTGAAAGCACCCTTTGAACTACGACCTGATCAATTAGCCGAAGTAGAACAACTATGGGAAATGTTTCAAAATTACACTCCAGCATATGCTGAATTGGATGGATTTATTACAGAAAAAGAATTGATTTTCATGTTAAAAAGTCTTCTGATCATGACATATACAACGGAGCAACTCCAAGAGCTAGTAACCTACTGTTGCAGACCACCAAATGCAGATGGGCATATATTTTATGAACAGTTTTTAAAAATGGTGACAATAAGACAAAGAGACTTTCCTATTGAAGAAGAAATCCGAGCTTCATTACAAGTGTACGACCCTGAGAAGACAGGATTACTAGATCGAGAATACTTGAGAGATGTTTTGACGAAACAGGGTAGTAAAATGTCGCCACGCATGGTAGATAATCTTATTAAAGAAGTTGACATAAGTAATGATGGTACTATAAATTTAGAAGATGTAGTTGCAACAATGTGCATTGATTTGAATAAAGAGGACTTGCAAATACTTAGAGCGGCTGCATATCCTAAAGGGCCAGATGATACCGAGGAGAAAACTCAGCAGGAAACAGAGTTAACGGGCGATGGTAATGAAGAAAATTAAACCGAAATTAATTAATTTACCGACAAAATTTCTAAAGTTTAGTCTAAACTGGGTACACACGTATAATATTAAAAATTAAAACAAAGTAAATAAGTAATATTGCTGTATTTTCATTGAAAATAACAATAATTCACATAAAATAGAGCTGTCTGAGTTAAATGGCTTAAGGCCCCTGACGTGTTAGTTAACTGTTGTTTTAAATTTAGGTACTTTCACGATACTGCTCAACATTGAATGGGGTTTATTTTAAGGGGGGAAAATCATCGAATGACTGCTCCCGCCTGGGTCAGGCGGGAGTGAGTGTCAGACTCTTACTGACTAAAAACCACCGCGTTCCTTCTCCTGCACGTCGAGCCGGAGCCGCGGTAACCCTTTAGGTTCTCCGCGACTCCGAATCGGCATCGGCCCTGTTGGGCCCCATCTGTGGTTTATTTCCCCTTAAAAAGTGGTGTCGTGGCTTATGTCATGGTCAAAGAGTCTATTAAGTCCTATACTTCATGGTTGTGTGATGACTAGTGATGGTGACAATCTTGCCTCGAACCTGAAGAGGATTTTTTATTTTACTACCAAACCAAACGAAAATATTATTAATAAATAGAGGCTCACGAGGCTCATTCCACAATGTTTGATTTATTAAGTTTACGACTTTAGCTTTACGGTCGATCTAATAACTTTATTATCGATGTTACAACTATAAAATAACAAAACGTCAAATTGTCTATGATTATGAGTTGACGTTGACAATTTGACATTAATGACAGTTGAAATATAAAGCATTGCATTCTGGGCTGAGTGGTTTGTTTGCTGTCGTTAGTAATTTATTTACTGTCGGTTTTATTTTGTTGTTCCTTCGTTTATCTGCTTATGCTCTACTTTTAACTTAATATCTCTGTAAAATGAAATATCTAATATGGTTTGTGACGTTTATTTCGTTTTTAAGTCATAGTAAGTACCGAAAATAGGTAAAATGTTTTCTTTAGCTATTGTAACATGGGTGTGGTTTAACAACGATGTTGAATACATCGGTAATTCGTCTATTGTAAATTCTTTTTCAAAGCCATATCCATAGCATTTAGCCTAAACTTAACAATTGTGATGCATTTTGTATGGAAATCATTTAAGGCAAGGATAGAAACACTGGTAATATAATTTTGTCAACAAAATCTAACTTTGACTATACCCATCAGTTGGGATCTTATTAGAATAATATGTAAATGATTTCAAAATACTTGATGATACTATTTTGATGTGATTTATCAGTGTAATTTTTTTTTGATAGGTCTAGCACTATGGTGCTATCAATGTACGGCAGCTACGCCTGGGTGTATGGAGCCATTCAACTGGCGCGGTGTAGGTTACCTCGGTAACCCATGTCCTGATAATGAAGATATTTGTGTCAAGCTCATTGAACGGAAAGGAGGTAAGAATTATTAAAAGAAGTATTATTATTATTATTTAATTAATTTAATCAGGCAGTTGAAACAACTGATGCCTGTATCGAATTTTTCTATTAGTTATTTGTTTAAACTGTCAAACACCAAGCGGTCACCGGTGACCGCAACCTATTGTTCTTTAATTGTGTCTATAAAACCGGTACTCGACGAGTTAATATGTGTCAGTGGAGTCTGTTTTTTAACTATATATGTATATATATATATATATATATATATATATATATATATATATATATATATATATATATCAGTATCTTAAAAATCCTATTCCCTTTCTTTAAATAACAGTAATAAAATCAAAGGATAACAAATTCTCTTTTAAAATATATTCTAAAGTTGACTACAAGATTTATTTGTAAAATCAGTTGGACTACACATTTACACTTAACCAATTCACTAATATTAATTTGTTGTCACAGTCAGGTAAATAAATGGAAACTGTTCACTTTTCAGCACAAGAAGTAATAACAAGAGATTGCTTGAGCAACTTTAGAGCTTTTCGAACAGACATTCCTGCAGACACATATGAAGGTTGCAGACCAGCTGCCCGGGATGTAAATCTAGCAAACTATGTCAATAACAGCATAAAGGAACTTGATATTAAGAGGTAAATACAATATATTAAACTACTAAAGGCCTTGTTTAAAACCTTTGGTTAAGTTTTAACTATGCTAATTTGTAACAGTATTTACTAGATATATCAACTGATATAATGTTGTGTATAGTAATAATACATATGTATAAATTCTAATAAATCAATTTGTTACAGGGACTGGTATGATGAGACAATATGGTGTTTCTGTTTCCTTGACCATAGATGTAATGGGGCATCAAGTTTGACAACAATGGCGTTACTAATCCCAACATGCATTGTGTTTCTATTTACTAAAATTATGTTCTGATACACACAGACTACAAACATCACACACTGATGTTACACCAAAAAGGTTTTTACTAAGCAGACAGAAATGGAACCTCTATGGAGTTTTTATGACAATACTAAGGAAAAAAAAGAATCTCATTCAATAAAACAATTCCATTTTAGATGTATTCTGTTAATAGACTAATTAGAAATGCACAAGTGACCTTATTATGAAAGCAGACAGCTTTATTATGATCTGAAATAATTACTAATAATTAAGTCCTTAAGGTGGCTATCAAGCTAAAGTATGTGTACATATATTAACAAACAAAGATTTTAAGTGCAAAATATTGTGAACAAGTCTATGTAGTAAAATTATATCTACTTTATAAATATGTTGCAATAATTTTATATCCAGTCCATGTCATCATTACATTCTGCATTTTATTTAGATAAAAAATAATTCAGATTTTTGAGACCTAACATTTTTTATAAAATTAAAGGTTTTGAAACATTTTTTATGTGGTGTCTTGTGGTTCAAGTTATTGCCCTGCAGAAATATTATACTTTGACATACAAATTATGTAAATAATCTACTATAATGTACTACCATGTAATTAATTAGTAAGATTGAATCTATCATGCATATTTTTATATTTTTTAAACTACATGATATTTTTTAAGCAGGAAACATTCCAGTGTGAAACATAGTATTTTAACAAATCCGTCCAGTTACTATTGTTTTTAATAGTTAAGATTTAAGTGCCTCATTGAACTTTGTTCTTTAAGACTGTAGTTTTGTACGCAATATTTTATATTTTAATGCAATTTATACGCTTTATAGAAATATATCTATATCGGTTGTAAATGTCGCAGCTAAAAATGTTTTATTACAAGTGAAATAAATGGTTTTAAATACATGTCAAGTTGGTGTTTTCATTTTTTATTTACATCACCCAATGACACAATAGACTAATCAAGTTTTGAAATAGCTCACATATTGTTATTTGCTAAACACTGGATGGGTACTAAACTTGTCAAACCATATTATTATATTTTGCGTGTCTCAAAAATGAACCATATTTCTCATTGTCGACAGATCGAATTGCGCCTACTCCAAAAAACCAGTCGGTTTTTGCAATAAAAAAAGTCCTCTGACTGCCTTCATATTACAAATAAAAGGTTCACAAGAAAGCAAACTGCATTTGTGTAACGATAAGTCCAGTGACCAGCATGAACATCTGCAAGAGGACATTTGCGTCCAGTTGCCACATGTCGTACACGGAGAAGTGTGGAGGCGTCTCTTCTATGAGTTTCAACATTCTGTTTGATTTCTCCCTCAGTCTACCTGAAAATTATAACAATTTTATGGATACTTTATTTAAAGGTGCACTAGGGTCTTTGTAGGTGGCGCTCTATAGTTTCTACCTACACCTATTGGACAGAAATATGTTGATGAGTCATGTCTGTATGTATTCTAAACGGATTCAGGATTCTTAATAGGTACTTAGAATATGTAATGGTAAGCTTTTGTTAGTGATACTTATATTCCTTCAGTATTCAGTACTTTCAGTTAGTGGGTAGGTTTAATTTAATTAAACTAATGTTAAGTACCAACCCTTTTGAATATTAGTACTTACCATCAAAATGTTTCGCCATAACAGCTATCACCAATCGTTTAGTTTCTTTGACCTCTCGGATAAACAACTCGCATCTGATTCCTAGTAAGAGCGCCATAACCAAGTCGATTATGGTGAAAAATGATGGCGTCAAGCTGTCCCAGATTCCTACAGTCTGTAAAAACATGGAATTGTAGTGTGAAGTAGCAGGCTTAGTCGTAGGTTGGGTCATTCTGACTTACGTCATTCTGTACGGCAAACAGCATAAATTCGAATGTTAAGATGCTCGATCCCACTAGTTTGCAGCAAAACATAAAAATCTGTAAAATATAAAGTAGGGAAATAATAAAATTTATTTTGATTGTACCAAGGTCGCAAGGTGGGTATTTTAGCATACCTTCTTATTAGGTACTTACTTGGAATTTGTAAATGTCTTGAAATTTGAAAAAGCCATCCAATAATTGTTTCATATAAATATCAGTATCACTTGTTAGGAAACTGTGAGTCTGAGCAGCGAGACGTCTCATAAACGTTTTGGTGGTAAACAAAAAATATGAACTCTTTCTTGAGTATAGGATCTCTTGAGTCTCTTTGGGATCCAAATAATTTTTGATTATAGAATTGATGAAACGTGCTCTTATATAGAAATATACGAATATATTTGAACAGCATATTAGTTCCAATACAAAATTAAGTTGAGAGTATGCAATTCCTATGTAAGGCCAAAATGCAGCAGTGCCTTTCGCTGTAGCAATAGCAACAAGTACACTGAAGATGACAAATACGGATGCCAAGGAAAATATGTTAGTCTTCAATAATAGGGTTATTATAGTTTTGTTGCGGTGTATGTTCATGCACCGGTCGATTTGTTGCAGTTTAACGAAAAACTCCACATTGTCATCTCCGTTCATGAACCGCACATGAATAATGTTGCATATGAACGTAAGAGTTTGTAGTCCCGTCACACACGTGCTCAAGTAGTATATAGTTTCGTTCTCAAACAGAATCGTATCATACTTGTGAATTACTATGTAATCTAACCCGAGTAACAGAACTACACTGAGCAGCGTATGGCATTTTTGGAGGAGCGACGGAGTAGTCACGAAGCGGTCTTTCAGATCAACTCGGGTAGATGCCATTAACATTTGAAATCGATACATTAATCTTAGAGATTTTATGAATTCTTTTTCAAGAATATCTTTGGAAAGATATTCGATTTTTGTATCTTTTGTCAATTTCATAGTTAATGTTAATTTATGTTACTTTTAGTATAGGTACTTGGGTGCTTATCTTTTCTAAGATGTTACTGATAGTAGGTAAGTACTTAGGCGCACTTAGGTTTAAATCTTATAGTAAAGCAAACTGCAAAAGCACAATGGTATAACTAGCAGTAACAGCTAGCAGATGTAAGGGCAGTCGAGTGCCCAACGTGAATATGTTGTAAATGGACAAGCTTCGTCTTCCTTCGACCAGTAATATAATTTGCTTAGCATACTCCCGGGATTTGCCTGTGGAAAAAAAATTGTAGGGTAATGAAATTAATTTCCAGCTATTTTAGTAGAAGTAGCTAAGTCTACTGGCGAGGGATATTGGAATACTGGCACTAGCAAGTGACATCCATGTCCCACTTTAGGTTAACATGTTTAGAACATGAACTAAAAAGGGAACTCCCAACAAAAATACTAGAAATACCATTAGATATAAAAGCAGCTAAATATTTTATAAACCCATAGATTTGCTAACGAACCAACAGCACAAACCCATACCTTTTGTTGGTAGACGAAACTTTACCCAGTAATAGGTGACAATTAAAATAAAAGAACACTTAAAAAAAACTGAGTTTTTAAAGGTACATCAAAATAATTACTTACAGTCATTAAGGCATGATGAAACGATGTCGATACATAGTTTTCTTGATTCTTCTAATTTTGTAGATAGAGATTGAGCTTTCAGACACAGAGTCACCATTATAAATTGCTTATTGAAGAGCAGAGGCATCACGTATAGCATTAAATCAATATCTGCTTCCCTCTGTGAAAGCAAGTTAGGTGATTAGCAGGTCTAGGATTTGCTTTCAGTGCCCAAGTTGGCTTATCCGTTTCTTACCTGCTCTTTCAGTGAGGTGATAAGAGAATGTATGGATACCAAATTCCAAGCCAAGATTTGACAGACGAAATAGAATAACTGTTGACATAAGGCCATATAAAATTAGTTTACACTGAAATATTGATTGAGCTATAAATGCCTGAGAAAAAGCTGAACACTAACCGAAAATTGGAATAGTTCAGTAAAATCTGACAATGCATCGAATATACAAAACGTTGCAGAAACAACTTCGCTTGAAAGACTAGTATTTTCACTATCGTAGGAGTTCATTAGGAAATAGAGGTTTCCATCATTGGCTCTCTTTCGAGGATCGTTCGCTTCTAACATTTCTTGTCGCAATACATCGTTTAGATAATTTACCCTTGATATAACAAGATGTATGATAAAGTAAACTTCTGCGATCTCTGCCAGCAGGCCAATACCTGTCGATATCAACATTACTAGAGGTGGACACGCACTTCTCATAAACACACTGTTGAACAATACAATCCACACAAAGGCTAAGAAACAACCACCCAATACAATGAACCAGGAAAACCTTCCTATATTCCTGTTCAGACTCTTTACATTTTTTATATCAAGGTGCCTTTCTATCTTCTGTAATTTCACGTACATTTGACAAATTTTATTACTCCTCCGCAAATTGTTTCGACATACTATCAGTACACCGTTTATTCCGTTCACTAGGACACCGAATTTTAGCGTAGAGTTAGCGTATTGAGAGGCAAAGCCATTTCCACAATAAGTAAAGAAATACACGAGGCAACACGTGTTTAAGATCCAGAAGAAATTGCTGTATAAATGGTACCACTTCGAAGGTTCAGTAGGGTACCTGTACTTAACATTCACGCGACTGAACCCAAGAATTCGGAGCAAAAAGAATATTGGTTGGAATATTTTTATGAAGTCGTCGTTCAAAATATCCGCGGACACTTCTTCGATATTTCTTATTTTATTCATATTGTACAACTACATGGAATACGGATACACAATACGCTTGTTTCCTGTACAATATGAAATAAATAATAAAACTAACTTGATCGACGAAATTCAGTACCGACTCTAAAGAGCCTTAGGGAAAACATCAATGGTCTAAAATCCATTTTACTTATTAGATAGGTAACGTTTTCAATTCCCTTAGAGTATTTGTTAATTATTGTATTCTTCGTTTTGTTGACGACAACGTTATATGCTTGAGTATCTTTTGAAGACATTTCAATGAAAACACAACATTTATGTAACAATAATATTTATTTATGTACTGCGGTTACTCACTACATTAGTAATGTGTACTTAAATAATTAACAACAGCTAGACACAGACTATTTCAAAAAACTCTCACATACAAACATAACGAGTTGTTATTGCTATCAACTGTATAAAACATTTTATACTTAATAATCTCGGACAAAACCAAGTTATTTTGTATTGCTTTGGACTTCAACAAATCAGTGACGTTTTAACATTGCTTTACATCCCCATATACTCAAAATACATACATTACAAATAATTGGCAGGTACCTAGCTGACAAAATGCGAAAATTGGAATAATTTTGAGGCTGGCTCAGTTTTTCAAATTTGCAGGTACGAATTTACAAAGCTGTCTTTTATCCTTGGTATTTGTGCATACACAGAAGTTTCTTGAATTATTTATACAAAAATATATGTACTACAAAGCTGAAAACTACCCATTCAAATAAAAATAACAACGTACTAACGCGGCAACATTGCAAACCAATCTATTCTAGTTCAACATTCCCAGTTTTTAATATGCAAAGCGTTGTGATTCGGCGAAGCCCAGTTTCTCAAGAGCTGGGTTGCAAGCGAAGTTGATCATTGGAGGAGGTCCACACATGAGGACTATGACGTCATCCCCTGGCGGGAACAAATGCTGACTGATCATCTCATCATTGATGAAACCCACGCTGTATTTCCAGCCTGCAAAGAACATAGAGAAAGTATTGAGTTTCTTTATTTCGTATTGGAACATCCTGCTTATTACAAAGTGCGTAAAGATATAATGCGACTTCGAGATTTTTTTCCAGTATTGGATACATACTGAGCCCATAGGTCTTCTCATAAATCGTAGCATAAAGTAAATAGACATTATTAAGCTTTTATAAGAACAACAACTGGTTCCATAGAATAAGAGATTAAAAAAGTTCTTGACATTAAGTAATACTCATCATTACTTGCAATTTTTTCTACTTTGTTCAATCGCATATATTTTCTGGCAAGTCAAGGTTTCTCTCGAAGATTTTTTTATGTATTTTTTGTGTAGTGACAAGTTTTACAAGTAAAAAGATTACATAATAGTAATACTTTAGTATGCTTCATTCCAATTTAAATATTCAGAACTATGCGATATAATAATAAATACTGCCGAAGCAACCTTGCATTGTGTTTTTATCTATATATGCAAATACAGCTTGTATATTTTCTGAGTTAATAATTTTCGATTCGGGTATTATCGTTATTTATGGAGTTATGAACCATGTCTGTCATAAATAATTTGAACTGGCATCTCACCTTCACTAGGTCTGTCAAGAGTGTACCACACTTTGAACTGCTCGGGGTGTTCAGATTGGTACTTTTCCAGTTCATTTCTTAACAAGATGTCTTCTTCTGTCTGGTTGGCAAACAATAGTCTCATTTCCGTGCGGTCATTGCCATCTTTGCATATGTGTCTGATGAGTTGGAGCATTGGCGCAATGCCAGTGCCACCTGCCGAGACAACGGAGAAATTAATAAATAATACCCATTAATTATGAACGTTTAAACATTATGAAAGCATGAGTAAGACATCATAATTATTATTAAAAGGACACCGTGTGCGATACGGATTGTAGATTTGTAGGTAATTTGTCTGTAGTAGTTATGAATATTTGATTCAGACAATTCCATTAGATGATTCGGCTCAATGATACTATTAATGTATATTTAATTTGTGCTTAATGACAGTTGAATAGCCGTAATTTAGTCATACCTCTGTAGCAAGATTATCTTTTATTTATGGGAGTTATATTAAGATATCACCTTGTGACACCTGTATTTATAAGTCTATAGAGTAATGTATACAATAGACTATTGATTTTATTACATTTGCATTTTGTAGTTAGTTGTCAGTATTTTTGAACCATTATTACTGAAATGACAGACATTTTTACAATTTTTACAGGTACAATTTTTTCATAGGACAGAAATCAAATCATACAAACATCAGACAACTAATCGTCAGACCATAAGCAAATAGTTTTATTATTATTTAATAACTCCGTATATTTCAAAGTCATGCACGACGCACGATATAAAAGATAAAATGTGACGTAAGCAGTCGATATATTATGTCTTATCATATTATGTATATCATGTACTAAATTGAAGTATACATACCTGCAATCATATTGAGTTTCTTAGCATTTACAGTTACTGGTGGGTCTTTCCTCAATTTCTTGATAAGGAATTTCCCATTGCCGGCGTACTGTAATCTTCCTGACGGTCCTCGTACGTCGATCGTGTCGTTGATATTCAAACTGTTCAAGTGTTGAGACATTTTACCGCCGTCAGGGAATTTAGGGTGCACATTTTTGAAGTATACCTGGAATACAATATTATAAGGTTGTAGCATATGATAACAAGAACATGTAGACAATAGTAGCTCTTCTAAAACAATAGGTAGGTAGAGATGTTGGTTGTACATTAGTAGTTAGAAAACGACTTGGTAATAAAATATAAGTGGTGTATTGTAAAATAATTGCATTGACTTTGTTGACACCTGTAGCATGGGATGAAGGTCTTGAGTTGGTAATTAATATCTTGTAGATTTTCAATGGGACTTCATAATACTTAACGATTAAAAAATAAAAAAAAACATTGTGATTTTTACAGCCTTATTTGCTACATAAGAAGAAGTACTGTACTGTAGCAAGGCTCGATTACTTTAGGTATTAGGTATTGGTCATTAGTTAGTCATCGGTTATGATAATTTGTTTGATATAATGTCTAATGACTAAATATCTAAATAAATCAATGATCTCAAAACCCAACTAAACACAAGATATGAGTGTATCAAACAATTTTCAACCAAGACCATTAATAGAAAAGCCTTTAAAACTATTGCAGTCCTATGTAGACTTTAGTTTTGGATTCATGTTTAAGTTTTATCATAAAATCAGATATTCAGATAAAATAAATTTATCTCTTTACTTAACCCGTCGAGCGTCCGCGTTCCTTATGATCCAACGGGTGCACACGTGACATTTGGAGATAGAAAGAAAGAAAGAAAATGCATTTATTTGGCCATTGGCACATGAAAACAAGGATCATTACAATAGAAATAAAAAATACAGTCAAAATAAAAAGAAAACATCAATAATACCTAGATTTTATAAAAGAGAAAGCAGCATGGAGCATTTTTTGTTGTGATCCACCGGGTGCTTATAAGGACGGTCGAGGGGTTAAGAACTGTATCTTAAAAAGATTTTTTTGAATAAATAAATATTGTCCACTTAGTACAAGGTCTTAAACTCATGGAACAGTCTAGGTCATGATGACTATTTAAGGCCAATTAATGGTGATAAAAATAGATAATGTATCAAATTGATTGAACGTAATAAGTAGATAGTATAGGCATTATATTTTATTATCTACTCATTACTCAAAATATGTTCAATTTATCTTATTATTTTTGTGTTATGTATTAGTTTTGTATATTATTGGTGTATGTATCTGTAAATAAAGTTAGATAACAAGTAGGAATGTATAAAATGTAGGAAATTAAAAGGAAATCAGCTGGCGCTAGTAAAGCTTAAGGTTCTATCAAGGTGCTTACTCTTGAAACCAATCTCAATATCAATGTAATTTCAATCCAATTAAATGTCAATACTATACAACCACAATCGTAGCTGTTAAAATAGCATTCATAGTACGGAATATATAGCCAAACTCAATACCATTTAGTTCATTCAATATCCATGCAATACGGATGCAATGGGCGCTAGTGTTGCAACTCAAAAGTATGAAGTGTCACAACACTAATGTCGATCGATCTGAATTTGATTCAAGAGTAAACTTCCAGATCAACTTATTACCAGCTAGTTATACAGATTAGATGCCGAAGTTATTAAAGACAAGGGGTTACAGACAACATACATGCTCTTTTATTATAGACCTTATACTGATTCATACTGATAACTCATAATAAAAACATGGTTAGTAGTTCCACAAATTGTCAATAAATAATTGTTGAGCACCTAATGAGTTTCCAGCTAGCAAATATCGTAAATGTGGCTCGAAACTAGTAGAGCTTTTCTCAGTATTTTCATGTTTTTTCAACCCACGGTTTTTAGTTATTATAAAAACATTTCCAGGTAGTATCTAATCTCAGATAGGCAATACAGTCAATTGAGGTGTTGTAAAACTTAAAGGCGTTGAATGTATCACGTAGCTCTACGTTTCGATATTGTAAGATAAAATTAGTTTAAGATTGTATTCAAGCAGGTACATTCTTGAAATGTTATCAAGTACTAAAATTTTGAAAATTATCAGATAGGCGCATACCTACATAAGCATAATGAGTAGAACGCGATACCAACGATATCTTTGTTTATGTGTCTGATTAACTGTTGCTATCTAGTAAAAAATGAGCAGAATTATGTGATTACGTTAATTGATTAATTTTATACCTTATTCCTCTGAGTATAAGATTGAAAATAGTTTAGAAACAAACGGAAGATAGCACTCTTCCGTTTGTACTTTATTATACATATTATTTAAAATAGTTACATACCTTAATAACAAGATCGACATATCCTTTCTCATCGTCACTGGAGACAGGAGTGTAGGATCTGATGACGAGATCATCATCAATCTTGGCTGACAAATGAATGTGCTGGCCAATTGGCAAACCTGAAATACAAAAAGTTATACTAGACGGGTTGCCAAATATAACATTTTTCAGAGAGTTCATTTACACTTCCAATTAGAGGTTCCCATTATAGCTGACTGTTTTTATATGCAAAAAGAATAATGTATAATAATAGTTATTATTTATGCAAGACATTTTTGCCCAGAAACGAACCAGTATACTGTTCAAGTTGCAAAAAGAATATACAACTAATCAATTATGTAGTTACATAGTTAATTTCTAAAAAATACAATTAACATGTACAATGTGTGTATTCAATGGACGTCAAGAATAAACAATGAGGTTATTTAAATTCTTAATATTGTACAAAGCTAGAGAAAATTAATAATATAAATCATTCAATTATAGACTTTATACAAAACAATGTTTCAACACATACATCCCCAAGCGGTCACCGGTGACTCTTCACTAACTACATTATAGACCTTATTTCCAATGTTTAGAGACTACTTTTGTATGAAAAAATTTAAGGGATGAATTTCAACGGGTTAAATTGTATGTGTTAATTCCATATATTACAGCAATAACAAAACTATGTCTGTAAAAAGGTTGAAGTCCTTTTATTTTTATCATTGAAATTGTTGTTAGATAACTAGTTAGTGATAAATTAAAATAAAAATCTCAAATTATATTATTATGATAAGAACACAATGACTAATGACTTACTGGACCAAGGATTTGTAGTTTTTATTAATATTGTTTTTTATGCTGCATAATAATTACTCGGTAACTATTATTAATTTAATTACGAACAAGGTACCTTTAAGATTTTTAAGTAAATAGATAGGTCATTATTATACGTTTTTTAAGCATGTGGTCAATAATGTTTAAAAACAATAACCGATCCAAGGTGATTAGATGTGTAGTAAATGTTTGACGAGATATTTTGTCAACAATTCCTCAAGGAGACGGATACCCTTTCATACAATTTTGGGCCTAGATGTAAAAAGATGAAATTAGTGTCAATTGATAGCTACTATATAAGCAAACAATCACTGAAAATTTTGCAGATTTTGGCAATCTGAGAGCCGAGGTATAAGAGATTTAAGAAAAGTGAGGTTATAACAATATATACACGGTAATAACCCATTTTTAAAGTGCGATTGTTGTTAGTGTATTGCAGCGACTAGTCGCTATACAACAATTTATACAACGATCCATGATGTCGATCAATATCCTATTGGTAGGCCGTTCGTAGAATCCAAAATAACAAGTCCAAGTTCAACGTTTAAGCGGGGTTCTCGGTGTCCAGTATGGTAGCAAGGCAAGGGTCGTAGAAAGAGGAAGATCACAGGTCCGTAGGAAAGCCGGGTCGAGGAATAATAATTATCAATAAAAACAAAAACAAAACGGGAAGAAAACAAATGACACTCAGAACGCACACGCACAGACGATACGAAACGAATGTCGAGTTAGCACAGATTAAAAATACAATAATCGATTAGTAAATGTGAATTGTCTAATATTAATTATGTAGATAACTAATTAGTTTTAACTCTTAATACTCTAATTCTAATAGATTTTATTATTTTAATTAAATAAATCAACCGGTGAAAGCATTTTCGTAAATAGTATGAACTCTGTAACGTTAATCGATTACAATTGAATCGATAATTCGTAACCCTAACATAATTATTGGATTTTTCATTTCCCAGATTGTAAATTGAATTGATTTTTTACAGTATGAAATAGAAAAAAAATACCTTTTTTTTAAGCCATAATTCAACTTATTACAATTGGGCCCACAAGTCCCAGTCTCCTTTACACTGTTTTTGATAAAATGTATTATGTGACCATATTTTTTTTTCCTAAAAGCATTTACTAAAAAAAGAAAAATAGTTTCCAACAACAAATAGACCAATCAAAACAACTGACTTTATCTACATGGTGAGACATTATGTACTTATGTATATTTTATCATTTTGAGAATAGACTTACCTAGAACATGTTCTGGAGTTGGTAGACCAAATCGGAACCTCCTTGTGTCATGACTGATCTCTTCCCTCTCTATCAGAGGTAGAGCATACTTCACATTAGGATCTTGTAATGTTATGAGCTGTGAGCTCTTCTGTGGAGCTGGAGCTCGAGCTTCTTTCTTGGCCGGTTTCCTGCCCCATATAAAGTGGGCTACTACTGATGTTATCAACACCACTGACCCCACACCCAGTACAATAGGCAAGACCTGCAAAAATGAATTTATTACTATCAATCATAAGATTGTTTATTACTTGCTTAATTTTTCACTTAAGTACACAAAGCACCGCTAATTAGTTGCAGCGCTACACATCGACACAACTGTCATTTACACAGTGTACATGTGTGCGTAATTTCATATAACTGTATATAAAAATATTCGTCCACCACGTTCACATTGGTATTTTCATTCTTGTGTCGGTATACGTATTTTTATAATTTAATGCATAGGTAAGGTTAAAACTATTTACAATCATTGATATGACCCGACATTTTCACTGTCATTATCGTAGTGCTCGTGGTCGATTGGTTAATGAGCACGCTTTTATCGTCTTTCAAGGATCAATGATGTGGGTTCTATTCCAGCTAAAAGTTAATTTTATTTTACCTTGTTATTTTTCTTATTTTTTTTTGTTTTTTGTCATAAAATATAAATATCAGGCTATAAAAGAAGCAAATGAGTTGGTAAATAAAACAATACTATTTTTTATTACAATTAATTTATTTATTATACAAATATGTTGTTTTATATTCAATATTTATATCTAATAATTAATTATATACCACAGGTTAAGTTTAAAGTTCTGTAAATCATAATTAATAGATATGACAATAAACCTCATAGTCGAATCGGGAAATATCATGCGGTACATCGGTAATACGATGGCAGCAACATTTTTTATTAAGTAAGAAACAAATACAACATTCTTGTTTTGTAATTTAATAATATAATGTATTATTAAATTACAGTTTTACAGTAATAAACAAGTAAAACATGTAAAAAATTACACTGTCAACATAATATTTCTTGAAATGGGCGACTTTTTGTCGTTTGAACTTCCATTAATTATCTATTTTACGACGGTTGTTATAAGGTTCAATATTCAGTGGGCTGTATGATAGTAAAAAGAATGTGACGAATGCTATGGAACGATTTTAACTTTCATGACCTTTAGAATCAGGGAAACTTTAAATTAATTGAAGATGGGCGTAATATAATATCAATCAAGTTCGAAAGCAGTTAAATAAATTTGTTAATGAAAAATTAAAGTGAAGTGAATAAACATGTTGAATAGAAAGAAATTATGACAATTTCTAACCACAAAACAATAACATCACTTCACCGTATGTTCTAGACAGCATTTTAATATTCTTAAAAAAATTAAACATTATTTTATGTTAATTTTAATAAAGGCAGAGTTTGACAGGCTCAATAATTGATTCCGAAATCAATACAATCACTGATCCTACAAGGCAGAAGGTTGCAATTCGTATACCTTTCTCCATCTTTTCTTCACAATATTTTACGCCCATCCTTATCCGACTTGAAAGTCTTTTCGTCGCTCAATATGATTACACTGTTCGCCCAATCAAAATTAATAAAGTCCTTAGCAAATTCTTAGCGCTTTTGCTGGTGAACCACAGATAACAATATTTTCTTCTCTGGCTTCCTGCACCTTAAACCAGAATGCAGGTGTCTCCGTACAGTTTGTATTAAAACATTCAGTGCTGTCGCTGTAGTGCGGGTTGGCAGGAACGGATCAGCCATGTGCCTGGCTACGATGTCGTAGTGCCGAGCCGATGAATTTGCCTTTGGTTTAGGCCCACGTCGACGATGTTTAACGTCACCGGTCTCCGCATATCTGTGCACCCATAACTGCATGGATCTCCTCTGTTGATACCAAACAAATAAGTATTTAAAATACCAGGAAATACTTTACAGGAATTAAAGTTACTTAAAAATAATAATAAATATAAGTAAACACAATGTTAGAATAATAATTTATAATTAAGTAGTGGCGTAAGGAATAAAAATCCCTAACCAGATATGTTTTAAAGAAACACTCCTAACAAAAACAAGTCAAGTTACAATACAATTAATAATAAATTATTAATATATCTTTATAATATTGAACTTCATAATAAGTTGCAATAATTATTTTATTCTAGTGCAAAAATTGATAGGTGTGTCGAGTTACAAAATGAAATAAATATTATTTAGAATATCAACGTAGTATCTTATTTACTCACCGATATCATTAAACGCCTTGCTATTTCAGTTATTGTTAGTTATGTTTTGCTCATGCAAAACAATGGTTTCAGCCTTTTTAAATGTTGATAGGTGTTGGAACATCTTGTAAAAATAAAAATAACTTTGCACACGAATATAAGTAGTGTAGCAATAAACTATGAAATCCTCATAAATTGACAACTAAGAACGCAATTATTTTGTAAGTCGGGTGATTTGAAAAACATGTTTTAAATAGTCGGTAGTTACTTCATAAGCGTGTAAAATAAAATGACTCGAGATTTCTATGGTCGCCACAAACATTGCAAATATACTCAGGTATCGAACCATTAAGAAATCACAGTTAATTACTTTTTTACTGTTTTTATCTTATTTAAGTTGGTTGAAATGCATGAAGCAAATGAGATTATTCTAAATAATAAATAACTAGAACTAAAATATAAATAAAAGATATTATAGGTATAAATAAATCTAAAGTATTTACTATTAAAATTAACATAAGATTTAGAACAATAGGAAAGGAAAAAAAAAAAAATTTAATTGTTTCTAATTTCAAATTTCAAATATTTGATAAATTAATTCTAAAACAACATGTGAATGTTGGAATCGATCCGGCGGCACTTTACTTGACAATTGGAGGCGATAACCATTGCGCCAAGCGCGCTGTAGATGAGATCATCGAAATATTTATATCATTCAGTAACATAAAATTACAATGAAAAGCACTATATTAATGGGTATTGTATAGCTCGATCGTTCATTATTTTTGATTTCGTTATTCAAAGTTTGTTATGAGTAATTTTACTTTACCCTCGTTTTTATTTAAACTTATTTACTAAATTATTGCGTATACACCGACACAAAATGATTTTTAAATACCAAGATGTGTGTGATAGACGATTGTTTCTATACATATCTATTGATATGAAATTACCCACACATGTATATTGTGTAAATGATAGTTGTGTCGATGTGTAGCGCCGCTAACTAATTAGCGGTGCTTTGTGTACAATTGGTCTGGGTGATATTTTTGCTAGTTCAAAGAGTTATGAATGGTGATGACGATGATATGAGAATGACCTTCAAAGACATGTTCATTATTGTTTTAAAACATGATAATATTATAATTTATTTAAAATATCGTGTTCCCGGGTGTACCAACTTAGATATTTAATTTTTAATACCTAGTTATTACAAACTAATGTAGGTAAGTGATATAGCAGTGTGTCAGTAATGTCAAGTGATCAATTTAGTGTACTACCTATTGTACTGTATGCATTTTAATTGGAATTATAATTACATCACAGAACAGAATAGATTACCACAATATATTTCAATATTCTTAGTGATTAAATGTTTTAGTTGATTACCTACTGTAGTTTAACTATATGGTACCTATTAAAAAAAAAGTGGTCAATCACTATGGACACATTTGTACAATTTAAAACTTTGACAACACTTACAAAGTGATACAAAGTTCAAAACTTATAAAACTTGATTTAAAAAATACTTTGTAACAAATTATAAGATAACATTAACAGGTAACAACAGGTTTTAGGAAGTTTTACTTTTTTGGTCGAAACATAGTAGATTAGCGATAATGAGGTACCTACTTGAACATTTTCGAAAAAATCTGTCACAGCCGCCTCTAAGTTACTCATTTTGATATATTTTTTTTACACTGGATTAAAAACCACTATGAACACGAACGTTTCACTGGACAATTTTATTCAATTTAACTCGGAAACTGATGTGCGCACACGCATATCGTAGAGGGTAAATAAGCAACTGACTAAGGTCAAACTTATGAGAGCAAAAACTTGGTTCACGGGAACGAGCAACTGATCGCAGTTTAGACCTTGAACCGTCTCAAGATACAAAATACATGAATTATTCAATAAAACGCGTGCGTTTGACGTTATGGCGATGAGCCCACTGATAACTGAATGAAATGATCGGTACAATTAATCAACATTTGACAGAATGAAAATTACGACACGCGTTACTATGCATTTTTAAGCCACTAAGTTACCAACCAAACTCATGTTCTCTCCCTGCTGCTAATATCAATACAATAATCCACAAAGACAGGTAAACTTACGTGAGCCATTATCATTCAATAACTTGCCTATCAATCTAGATAAGCCATATTAATAATATTTATCAATTTTCTACAATACTTAACCTCAAAAGTAAATAAAATTACTCACAACTTTGTTATTTTCTGAGAAAGGCATCTTCAGTTTAGGTTATTTGTATAAAATACTACCCGAACTTCCCTAAATCACTAACGAAGTAAACCATATGCAGTTATTGCATAATAAATAATTATTTTACTACAGTCTACGTAGGTACGGCTTCGCGCGCTGTTCTAACTGACGAATACTGTGAATAGTTGAATACCGTTTAGCGGCCAGTGAGAGCGAGGAATTTATTTTGGTCCGGTACATGATTTGTAGTTACCTTTCGCTGTTTTGGTCGATGACAATTGGTCCTAAAATAGTTTATGTGATTTAGTAAATACTCATCTTTACTAATTATTGGGAACTTTGTATCGTGAACAAGGGCTATAATAAAATAAAAGTAATAAAAAATGTAATGTTTTTACATCTCACATTATTCACATTTCTCTCTTACAATTTTTACGCAGTAAACGACAAAAGACTAAGAGTCTCTTTCAAATGATAATAGTAAACAATAACTAAAATAATTTGATTTTACCGCCATTCAGCGATGTTGGCGATGACTTTTGAAGCAACTGTCAGTGTCAAACTATAATGTAATGTCATGTCATTGTCAAGATTAGCAGTGTTGCCATTGTATTAGCTACTAATTATGAACACTAGGAAATTGATCTTGATCTTGACAAATTTTGTTGCAATTTTTCATTGCAGTTGCAGTTATTGTCTAGAAGTATCTGCATTCTTACAACGTTTTAGTAGTTAACATATTTAAGTAGTACTATAATGTTATCTAACTTATTTTAATACTTACGCCAAATTGTTACAGACGTTTGTGTAAACTATAATGCATATTTATGTAAAATTTATTCCTTCTGTTATCAGATGATGAAGTGGAAACGACTTTTCAGGTAATAAAAGACTTAAATTGTTAAAAAAATATTGTATTAACTTATTATAGATTAATGTCAGCTTGGTTTCACATTGCGTAAAATACCATACCACATTTTAGAATAAAAATATCTTAATAATTACTTGTTAGAATTAAGTACACATAGTAAACTTTGTTTTAAAAATAAATCGCCTATCTATATTTACATAAACATTTAAAGTATTTTCACTTTTCTTCAATATTCACTTTATCACGTTTTTATCGTTAAGTACCTTTTATTTTGACCCGATAATTTCCCTAAGACTTTGAGTAACACCTGCAACAAGTACAAAGCTCCCGAAAACTATTAATATAATATCTTTGACGAGAATCCAGTTATATTTGCCGAGGCCTCTCTCCCAATTAAAAATAACGTCTAGGATTGACGGTGCGATGAGGCCCAAGAAAGAATAGAAGAACGCTCCTTCTAGACCAATCACTTGTTCCAAGCGAGGTAAAGTAGCCGCTGCTGCCACTATAAAGAACAAATAAAAAAATAAATTTTAATAAGGTACTCAGGTAAAATATTATGCGACTGTTGTTACAATATTTTGACTATCTGATTACGCTGTTTACTTTCTCATTACCTGTCAGGATTGCAAAAACCGCTCGAATAACGCCTTGGGCCAAATTGTGATATTTCTGCGTTACATGTTCTTTTGTATTTCGCCACACTATTTCCATGGGCACATAAAACTGTAGCGTGTACGTGAAGAAAATTGCAAATACGATGAAAACCTTCGCTGTTAATGCAGGACTGAAAAAAATGAAAAGAATTTTTAGCAGTTTTTATTAACTATTATTAACATTAACTGTGTAGGTACCTAAATTGACTTTTAATAAAATACTTCGAAAATGTCAATATTCAAACCAATTTCGGATATCTTAAAGCAAAAAAAAACACTGGCCGTTATTCTTGAAAAATCAATGTGTGGCCATTTATGTGTTGAGAAAAATAAAATAAAAAGTAACTTAATAATAACTTAACTTTTATTTTATAATAATTTTGCTGAACAGTGGACAATAAGATTTGTGAATGTTTCTGAGATTTTTAATTAGCATTGGAAATTTTCATGTTATATGTCACATTTTTTTTAGCTTTTTTATATAAATAAAGATATAAAATTATATTATGATTGATAAAAAAAGTTACTGGCTTATTTGCCATTAAATCAAGTTGCAGCCATAATACTTGAAAAACAAAAATAAAAGAAAAAAATTGTCTGGAATTTGCCGATTTTTTTTATCTTGAAGGAGCTAGTATTCCTGCTGTATTATTTATTAATCGATGATTATTACTAACAAAAGAGGTTGTATGTAGGTAGTTATACTTTCGGCGATGTGATTATCGCGGTATGATCGCTTGTAAAAAAGAGTGAACTTTTCGTAAAGGTACAAAACAAACATAAATATATTGTAAGTGTTTTGTATAAAATGTGCTGAATCTTACATTTCCGATGTGTCCAGATTGAGAGTAATACTGCCTTTGGCTTCATCTCCATAGCGCACGTAGCCCAAGAATCCCATGATCATGTACAACAGCACGACCACTGACATGGTTATGTTCAGCACACCAGGACATCCGAGGAAGTGATTCGGCTTAGCCATGGTATTCTCAACCGGTAGGACAACGCCGATACCTTCCATGGCAAATATAACTGTACTGAAATGAAGTTAAAGTTGAAATTAGCATTTTGTTATAATAGTATCTATTATATTCAGTGTAGTAGTAGGGATGGTTTTGTTCAGGCAAATTATATTTGAACTACATACATCATTACAAGTACTGTTGAAATGCAGTTCATTTATTTCACTTTTTTATTATAATGACTTAGAATATATTATCACGTCATAGTACATGTATTATGGTCGGTAATAAAAAGCTAAGTGGTTTCTTACCCGATAAATAGAGGTAGTTTCCCTATATCGACTGACATCGGCTTTGAGTCAATAGGCTGGAAGTCCGTGCAGATATAGTAGAGGCAGATGAGGAATGTGAGAACCAATAAGACGTTTGCAAATCCAGAGAAGGGCGCCAAGTATTTCAAGTTTTTAATTTGTGTAAATAGAAGTATCGGAACTAAGAACATAAGGCAGTACATCGTCGTGCTGATGCCATTGTCGACGTAATAAAAGTCCACGATCTGAAATGAAAGTAATTAAAATGAAAATATGTAGCATTTTTGTAAGAAAGCTTGTAGTGGAAAACTCAATGTCTATAGGATTTTCATTAACTAAGTAGGTATGTGTTTGAAAAGCAAAGGTTCCGGACTTCGGAGTACCTAAGCATGTGATAAAAATAAGACGTTACTGGGAGTAACGTACTACTTAAATATTTGTTGATTGTAAGTTTACCTATTCAATAGCGAAACAGACTCAAGATTGTACCCTGAGAGACGCCACACCATTAGAAATGAAAAAGTGTAGTAGTTCTTCTTTCTAATAGGTACCTAAACAATACGTGTTTAGAAATGCCTGACCAAGAAGAAGTCAAGCTAAACACACATACGTAGGCACCTATCTACAGCGTATAAGGCTTATAAAAAATTCCTTTTTTGGGAAACTTGTTTGACAAGGATACTATTAGCATTCAAACTCTTTTCACGAGTGTTACCAACGACAATTAGCTTATAGAAAACTAGCTGTTGCCTGCAACTTCGTCTGCATAGAATATGATTCTTGTTTTATCCCATGTGAGCAATTCATCGGGATTAAAAGTCCTATCACCTAAGTCAGCCCTGGCCCTGCCTGTGTACCAAGTTTCATGAAAACACGTTCAGTAGTTTCAATATGATTAACGGACAACCATCCAATTATAGATTGTTTTACGTTTATAATATTAGTGTGGTGTTTGGGTTACACGTTTACGTTATTGTTTCGTGTAAAGCAGAAGGCATACAAAAATAAGACAACAATATCGAAAATAAGATAAAAATGATATCAACATTTTCTTGCATCTACTTTTTTTGTTTTACATTTGGTATAAGTTATCAGAACATTACAAGTCGAATGTTTTGTCAATCGTCCAACATACCTGTTTAACGGATTCCACGAGTAAGATGACATAGACTGCACAGGCGCCAAGAATGGTGAAAGCCATAGCCCAGTCTATAAATATCCTGAAAAAGAACGATGATGCTTGTTAAGAATAATTTGGAGTAAAAGCACCTGAGAGACCTTGAAATGTTTGGGACAGGTAATGTTTTTGATGATGAGCCAAATAAATGAGGCGCCACTCGCCTTTGAAAACATCGATGCCAATGTGAACAGTCATATAGGGTGTCTCGTATCTCCGAGAATAAACAGGAAGAAATGATGATTTTGTTTTGATCATAACATGTCACTCAACTTTTTGAGGCAGCCAGACTGGATTTTCTGGTGGTACCTTTGTGTCTTCAAGGCCCAAGTGAATAGGTTGCTTATGGGGCGACGTGCTCCATCATAGATAGCATCATCGCTTACCACCAAACGAGATAGTGGTCAAACGTCGGCCCATCAAATATAAAAAAAACTTAAATAGCAAATTCAGCATACAGGAAAATGGGATGGGAAATCCTTAAATGGTAAAACTAAAAAAAGTGTGATTCTTCTAATCAGCCCTGTAATGATGACTCAGAATCTACTTAGTTACTAAAAAAGCAGCTGTCGTCGGCTTTCTTGAATTCTAAGATCAAATTAGATATCATTTTTGGCAGACATCTCTTGTTCACAAAGGAAATGTACTATGCTATGCAGAGACAGTGTCACTGTCGAGTGTCTACATTCAATCGTGAATCAAAGTCACGTGAGGCCGTTAATGAAAGACATCGACAGTGTAATAATAGTTCGCGTCCTAACTATAGCAAACTTGACCTTAGGTATTTATTGGTTTGATTACCTCAAATTTACGATGTCACTCATCGGAAACGTGATTGATTTCAGGGGTCATTTTGTTCTATCTGCTATTAATTTGTCGTTGAACATTATGAATGGCATTTTCTACATATTTTACATTAATATTGGTAGCGAATAGGTAGACCTACCGTTCAGTAAGATGGAAAATTTACGTAGACTTACTTAAACATTGAACTAGATGAAAATACAATACTTACACATTATTTTTTATTCGAACAATAATATAATTTTATTATATTTCACGCGTACATGTAGTAGGTATAACAAATTTTCTTCTTCCGAGGAAAAAGGAAATAAATGAATGTATTAAAACATTCAATATTTTTATTCAATTTTCTAGCTACCATTCATGTGGGATTCCGAAGATTTAACAAGTTAAACATCGGATATTTAAATAAAAGTCTATTGTAATTTCAGAATACCCATTTCATTAAAGAAAATCATTCACCTGTCTCTAAGTTTTGTCTCGTGAAAAGAAATTATAATAATAAAAGTCATTCAAGAACCTATCATGAATGACATTCTTCATAATATTTCATAAAGCCGTGTCTATGCAAAAAATAAACTAGTCCCCTATCTGAGTTGGTAATTAGATGCAAGGGTCTGTGGTTAGAAGTCACACGTGTGGTCTAGAGTGACCTATAAGGCAGATGACAGAATTGAATATAAGAAAATAAATACCAAAATGGTTCTAAGTGTCAACTTACCTGGAAGCTCGTGATACTTTTCGTAAAGGTTGAGGTCCAGTTGCAAATACTGCTTCAACGGTCTCAGCGTACCCTAATGACGGAACCTTTGTTACTCTTGATACGTCTTGTGAAGTTTTAACCTGGAAGATAATTAAAAAAAATATATTTTAATGTCTGAGTAATTTTCTTTAACCTATTTGCTTATAATTTCTTAATTTTAATCTAATTCATATAATTTTTAATAATCTTTATGATGTCGACATAGTATGAAAAGTGCTTTTTCGAAAATTCCAATATAGGTTAGATGAGAAGTTTCGAATATTATATAAAGAAAAGGAAAGATTAAAGAAAAGAAAGGAAAATTAACAAAAGAAATGAAAAATACTCACTAATAAATATACGCAATGTGTGCAGATGTAACCCAGTATGATGGTACCAACGATGCCTACTATCGTGCCAGCATTCTTAAAGGCAGCCGGCATCGCCAAAATACCAGAACCTAGAGATGACTTCAGGAGATTTGCAAACGATCTCATATCTCTAGAAAAGAAATAATAAACGAGGTTTAGTTTAAACACGAATAAAATAATTACTTCATAGGTACCTAATAGTGGTCATTTCTTGCCAAAAGATCCTTTATGCCCTTAGGTAAATTTGAGGGAATGTACGTAATAAGAGCCCAGAGTTTAAGAATAGGGTCATCTATAACATCACTCGTAAAAGCGGTTCATTAAAAATAAGTGATTTCGCTGTCTAGTTTGTCCTGGATTAAAATGCCTGATATTAACTTAAAAAAAAGACAAAAAATTGTAATAAAATGTTAACCCTGCGTAATTAAGTCAAGGTTTTAACTGCCATTCAACTTCTTATCAGTTATCATTAATTTGAAGCGACTTGATTTTTATCGACCACGTGCTTTATTGATTTTTTTTATTACTACAGATGCGTATAATAGGTTTTATTCATTAGAATACTTCAAATCAAGGTTTTCAATTACTTGTGATTTATTTCAATCGAGTGAAGTAAAAAGTCTGTGAGTTTCTTTATTTCATATCAGTAATAATGGCTTCAGGTCATCGGCCAGTCTCAAGTCTTCAACTATACTAGACAACTGCGCAGAAGATTGTTTCATGCTTCCTGATAGGCAGGCTATATGAATCAGTGCCTATTAGTACATTATTTTGTTTTATAATGCATACTTACGAATTCGGATGTTCCAGTTTTCTATTTTGAAAAGGATCATAATTGTTCATTTCAAGATCATTCTCTTTGCATTTTGTGTTTATTGTGCTAATGGATATCGTTGAGGGATAGATTCCATTTTCTGTTATGATGGCCCTGAAACAGAGTGCATTTTAATTGTAGGTGTATATTGATCACGGTAACATATTTCCTATATTTAATGTAAAATATGAGGTGGCTGGGAAATGAATTAGGTACTAAATACTATACATAAATGAAAATTGCCCTTATTTAACTATTTTTACGTTAAGTATGTCTATGCCCATGTGTTTTAAAATTAAGATTCTGATTGGAATCGTAAACGAGATAAAAATTGATTTTAGCACCCTATAGCCTACCCAACCAAAAGTCAGCTTATAAATTAATGCTAGTTTGGCGACTTACAAATTGTATATTGTCTACTTAGGTAATACCTATGTATGATACGATAATGACGTTTGTTTTGGCTTTCAATGTGATATATGTGGAATTTAGGTTTGCAACCATGTCCAGTGTCTACGATACAGCAGAAAATTTCAATACAGCAGACATCTTAACAAGAATAAAAAAGTAGTGTTTATAAATCTCTTTTCCAAGAATCGTTGTGTAGGGCACATTAATTCAAATACATTTTATGACGTCAAGCAATTTTTCGGGTGATTTATCAGGAGATTATAGCGAAGTGAAAGAGAGCAATATTCCCGTAGCTATGTGGCGTCTATTCCAAAGAATGCATGTTTAAAGTCCGCCAGACAAAATTGTGATAGCATGTATTTTGAAAGCGAATTTAACGCCAACCCGAATTTATTTCTGGCTGCAGCACCAAGAATTCAATTGGATGAGTACTTTATGTTTAGATGTGAGTACCATTACTTCGATAGAATTGCTTGTAAATCATGAATCTTATTTGTTTTGATTTGACCGCAATTTGTTCTGTAAATCTTCTCTGTTCGTCTCATTCATTGACCTAAGGTATCTATTGTGGTTTTGAGGAAAACCACGGTCGGGTTTTCAGTTGAGACATGAATTTACAGTCATTGTTAGGAATGTCGTTTTTATGTAATTCAGGTTGAAAACAAAATTAAGTTTCATTGGAAGAATTCTCAGCTGTAATAGGGTAGATGCCTAATTTTTATTTTAATATCCATCTGGTAGATTATTTTAAATCATTAGACACCTATTTTTTATTTTCTTACAGAAATGAATACTTTCGACGATATATTGATTTGTAATTTCGCATGACGTCACTTCTATGTACCTATATTGTATACGTGTAAAAATGACGTCACAGCCCCCACTCCTCAACTTTGATTCGTTTTATTTAAGTATTGTTTTATTATACGACAAAATAAAAAAACCTATCTAAAATTTTTTCATTATCTAACTTACGGACTAATTAGATTTTTAATTTTCATACCCTGTCATCATACCAACTGTCAATTTGAGTTTGAGCCCGGTTTTTTAAAATCAGAACTATTATTTATAAAATATAGGTAAATTAGTTTATTTTGTAACATTATCTTTTTAATATTTAATAAAATGTTGGATTTGACTCATTATCGTAATTCCTATTAAAACGTCTAGTATGGATATGTAAAATGAAGGTAAATAATAAAACAATAGCCTTGAAGAGGTTCTCTCTCAAAGAAATATGATTCTCTTGAAGCGCTAAGTCTTCCTTAAGCTATTTGAGTACATTTATTACGCTGCAGTAATAAAAGACTTTATTGATAACATAGTTGTCTTTGTACCATTTCATTTACGTTTTGTGTGCTCATCATTAATTTACATGACATATAACACAGGTACTTTGTCATAATCACGTTGTCTGTTGAACTTTTGATTGAAATTATACACACAGCATTGTAATGATAAAGTTGTCTAAGTTGACGATACGTTGACGTAATTGTTAAAGAATTTTGTAATTTAAGTAGTTTACGAATTATATGTCTAGTTTGGCTGATTAAAACTATAGGTATTTCTTTTCTCTTTGCATTTATTATCGTATCCTAAACTGTCCTAAAGGTACACTCAATAAATTTTATAACAGACTAGCTGATCTGGCAAACTTCGTGCCACCTAAACATTTTTCTCACCTTTTAAACCTTCTCTGGACTTCCACGAACATTTCAAGACCAAAATTAACCAAATCGGTTCGTTCGTTTTTGAGTTTTAGCGAGACTTACGAATAGAAATTCATTTTTTTCATATATACGTAGCCTTAACTAAAACCCCAATCTTATATCTTATCTTATACTCTTATACTATTATATAAAGCGGAAGAGTTTGTTTGTCTGTTTGTTTGTTTGAACGCGATAATCTCCGTAACCACAAGTCTGATTTGAATAATTCTTTTTGTGATGGATAGCGCATTTATCGAGGATGGCTATAAGCTATAAAACATTACGTTACGACCAATAGGAGCTGAGCAGAGCGTGTGAAACCGCGTGGAAGTAGCTAGTTCATAATAAATAGCCACTATTTTGACAGTGTCTGTGGAATTTCTAATTCGTTCTTTGCTATAAAGATTCTGAACTTTACAACGAGCAATTAACTTTATCAACTGCCAGTCGGAAAATTCTGTTGGATTATTGAATTGCGTAGGTACTGCGTTACGTGATTGATTAGAAATTACTGCTTTGATCTTGACTTTGATTTAATCAGGTCAAGGGTACGGGCCAAGATTTAGTTTTGGTTTCAGTAGTTTTTTTTGAGGGGGCAAAATCGTCCAATTACTCCTCGCGCCTTGTCTTAGGCGAGAGGGAGTGTCAGACTCTTACTGACTAAAAATCACCCCATTCCTACTCCTCTCTCTCTCGCTCTTCGAGCTGGAGCGCCGGCAACCTTTTAGGCCTTCCGCGGCTTTCAGTAGTAGAAGATTAATTACTTTCTTTCATTCGGAAAAGCTAAAATGGCTATTGGCTACGTATAATAACCATGCTTATTGTCGTTGTTAGAATTGATAACTATTAATTCCTGTATGATTAATAATTTAAATAACATATGACTTTTCCTCGAATAGCAGTTTATTTGAAAATAACGTTAGCAGTTACCGATGGCAAATATTGGATATAGATGTCTGTTAAACCCGTTCTCCTTGAGGTATAAAACTAAACCGCTGTTAGCTTCCAAATGAGTCATATAGTCGTTTAAGTTGAAGGTTCCTTAATTGGAAGACGATCATTATAAAATGTTTGGTTCGCCATAACAAATTCATCAAGAGAATGTGATTAGTATTCATTTGTTACTAGTTGATTTCGTCCGGCCTAAAAATGTTCTAACCTTTTTTGGACTTCTACAACACTAGCCGAATCGGTTTTGCCGTTCTCAAGTTTTAGCTAATCTATGAACGGAAATTCGTTTTTATTTATATAGAAGATCAAATTATAACTATTTTGGTTGTTCTAGATAGGTACATGTTACAAGTCTGTGGAGACAATATAAAGTCTGGAATAACACATATCTAATGTGTATTTAATATCCTGGGAAAGTATACTATTCCTGTGTAAGCGATTTCTACGCCAAAGGAGTTTCGGATAACAACTAGGTACTATTAGATAAGACTAAAAACATAACAGTTGGTATAATAACAAATAGAAATGATAACGCATGCTTTCTTAACGTCTTTACGTGTTCTTTCAAGGAAATGTATCCTGTTATCATCTCATGATGTTGCACGTGTTATCACACGAAACGTGACATGTTGATCATCGAACTTTTGGACAGCAGCCATCGCTGGGGCCAAAATTATGGGTTATTTATTTACGACGTAACTAACGTGGTAAACATGACGTGCATATGCAAATGCAAGCGTTAATGACAATTTATAACTGTCTCTTGTGGCTAAAATATGTAGTGAAATATCCGAGTGTAATGTGTAAAATAAATGATCCTGAAGTACGAGCCCTTCTGTGCGGGGCTTCGTCGTGTTGGTAATAATAATGTTTAAAATTCATAAAATATCAATGTGTGTAACTGTTTCCTACGCATTTCTGTCTTTTTTTAAACATTCTCACAAGATTATACGAAATTACTCTACATGAAGTCTGGATCTCTGTGTTCATTCAAATATCTTTCTATTATTATGTAGACGAAACATGTTATCATTATAGTTAATCAGCGTGCCTACTTATAATATTTATCTGCAGGTAATCTAAAGCATGTACTGTCTAGAATCTAGATCTCAGATGAATAATACTAGGGATGTAGCAACATATTATTATGTAGATGTCGGTTTAGAGGTCATATTGTTGGTATTTCTTTTTAAATGTTATGTTGATATTAGTATTGCAAAAACGAGACTAAATTATAATAACATGAAAACCGGTAGATCCGGTTAATAAAATAATATCACACCGAACTCCAAAAACAGTGTTGAATAACTGTTAGTGTTACTCTCTCTCGGAGACTAGAAAAGAAATGGTAAAAAGATCCAAAAAGGTTTATTCACAAAAAATCTTTATCTATAAAAAAGTATCAATCCATGGAAAAAAAGCCTTCTAAAATTTAATGATACCATTGTAACCGATAGCTGCATTATGCAACGTTGACGTCATTGGCTGATATTGAACTCTAAGGTATTTTCTTGCATTTAAAATGGATGCCAAACTAATGCGCTTGATTATCGCAAGTCTCTTTCTTCAATCTTACTAATGAAAGAGTAGAAATGTATAAGGAAAGGGAACCTTGTGTCCCAGCTTAAATAAACAGTCACCGGTTTGTATGCCAACTTCATACGTTTGATAAAAGTAATTAATGTAAATAATGTCTAATTACATTGCTAGCAAGTCGATAAGTTTCTACTTATTATAAAGTTATGAATTCATATTTAAATGAAAACAGACGAGAAGATTAGTAGCGTTATTTTAAGGTACAGATAAACAAATTATTAAAAAGTCGTTAAGGATTGATTTTATTGACTACATTTTACTGGGGTTTTTTTGAAAACTTCTTAGTAGTATATACAATACGGTAGTACATAACTGGTGAAAAGTGAGTGCCACATTATATGTTATTGTCTATCTTTTTGGATTATAAAAGGCGTGACGTCATATTGTGTCATTGTGATTGTTTGAGATTTGAATTAAGGTTTCTGTTACTAATCTAGAGGTATAGTTGTTCTTAAAACAATGCAATTTTAACTCGCAATAATCGCCACCATGTTATATTATTCAACGTGTGGAGATCATCATTGTTGTTATATTTCGAGTATTTAACTCCAAAATCTATGCCTTTTCAAGGTCTCACATTGTTTTTCTTGTCGTTAAACATTTACCTCGATATTATTTAAACTATAAATATATATGTTCCTGACATTTTTGGAGGTTCTTTGGCTATTATTTGTTGGGCATCTTTTGTGCCCAATAATATTTTAAAATCAATTTTATATTCCGTATATTCTTCATTGCTATTTATTTTAAGTATTAAGTACCCTTAACCGACGAGCATGCATGAAAAGATTGATGACTGTTGATGAAGCGAAAGAGGTATGTAGGAATCGTAGTAATTGGCGTTCCCTATTCTCTGCCTACCCCTATGGGAGACAGGCGTGAAGTTATGTATGTATGTATGCTATTTATGTTGTAGATTGCTAGTTACATATTTACTATTTCTTGGATTGAGGTTCTGATGTATGTATATGTATAAATGTATGTGTATGTGTAAATGTATTTTATACCAAGTGGTTATGCTGTACATACATAAGTAACGGTATTTGTTTTAAGTAGGTATTACGGAGAGTATCAATATTATGAAAAGAAAGTTCTTTGTAGGAATAAGAAAATTAAAAATTGTGATTCTGCTTTACGTTAGCTAGCTACTAAGTACATTCTAGTTCCACTTTGTAGTTGGTAATTCATATCTTCACGCATGACGGACACTACTACAGTATGAAAGTGTAAAACTGGCCATTAGCGTACCACGCTTGTGAAAATTACACAACTTTGGCGCCATTTTAGTCATAACAGAATGCAGTGTTTACATGCATGTTCCACAAATAGTTTTATTGTTAGGCAAAGGACAAGACTTCCTAGGCAGGGCTGAGCTTACAAAATATCGCTGAATCACTGAGGAAACTGAACATAAAACTCACGGAAGTTTTTCACGGTTTAATCTTAAAATATGCATACTTTTTGTTATCATAATTTAGTTCACTCGCGGTTATAGAAACAATAGTGTTTTAAGTTAAGTAATAAAAAAAATTAAACAACTTACGTCGAGCTAAACTCCTTCATATTGTAACTATTCGACATTTTCACTTGTTTTTTTCGTTAACTGTATTGGTGCAAAATCCAAAGTGGCACTGTTATTATAGGGAAGAATAGTTTTAATTGATCGGTTTTGTTTATGTATTACGATATATTATGTTGTATCGATACATTTGCGCGCGTGCGACATGTTTCGCGTACGGGCGGCGACACAGTCAACGGCCGTGTGTTTAGTGTGCATTGGTGATCTTTATAAATATAAAATACGCGTGACCGTTTCAGGGACCATCTTGGCATCGACATTTAGCTCAAGGGCCAGTGGAATCTGGAATTCTGGACTGATTTGTGTCTGTTGGACTATTGTCTCCCACACAGCTGTGTTTGATAAGTCTCTGTATCTGTATTATTATGTCTGTCTTTGTGAATGGTGGGACTTTTTATGTTCGATATAATGCACGGAAAAGTAATGTGATATAAGTAGGTACGCTCCATTGGGATGATTTGTAAATATTTAACGTAAAGAGTGTGACGCGATCTGACCAACTGTTATACGTTAATTGGGTGGTCTTTCAACTATAATGACATTTTTTAAGGTTTTTTTCTGTTCAAGGTTCGATCTTGACAATCACAAATGTGTTGAGTTCCTATAATATTCTCTAGGATCTGCTTGCAAGAGTTTTGTTTATCTTATCGTTAACAATGATCAATGTCGGCTACATAATCGCTTGCCACCAGGCAGGTTGGTGCCCAAAACCATCCTATTACCAATAATAAAAAAAAAACAAAAAAGACATTAGAATCGAACAACATCGAAAACATAATCACTATAATTGAAATCCAATCACCGAATTAATAAAAAAATACATTTTAATTACATTGTACTGTCGTTGCCAACAGTGTTACAAATTGTGTTTAGAGTACGTCACAATCGAGCCATACCACGCGCATCACATTCGTTGACACGCGAGATTCTAGGCAAGAATTGAATGTTGTAATAGTTCTAACAATCTTTTATTAACATTTGGCACTCACGAGACCGTTTTTAATTTATAAATAGGTATAGAATACCGAAGTGTCACTGTAACCGAGACATTTTGGCACTGATTACAAACTCCATGGGACTCACGGTTTTGGAATACCACGATTTTTTTCAACTTGGTGATTATTTACGCTGCACCGATAAGTATTTGATACAGTTGCTTGAAAGCAATAAACTAAGATTATTATTAAACTGTAATTACTAACAGAAAATATAGAAAAAATCTGTGAATATTGCACTTACATTATTGGAAAATCATTAAGGTACAGTTTTTTTTGTAATATTTATACTTTTTAAATTATTTAATTAGTCTTGAAAGCATTTTGTGTATCACTGTCCACTAACCAACCACTACCACTAGCAAACATTAGCGATCGATTTGAGCACAGTCCAGGCAACAACTGACAAATATTTTGTCGTCTTCGTCCAGAGAAGTGAAAATATGAAAAATAGATGCCAAACGTAGGACGTAGATATTTTCATTCATGTTGTTTGTACTTTACTCTATCTACACAAATAGTTGTAAAAGTTTTGTATGAAATGATCACTGAATATGAAAATCAATTTCTTTTTGAATTTCGTAGTATGCTCCGAAATGTGATAAAAATAGTAGGTATCCTTGACATCCTCGGTGTGAGTACAGACATACATAATATTTTCTAATACTGCGTAATTTGACACAAGCAAACTGCACGGTTGACTTTTGCGAGTTATATGCACTTCTAAGATTATGTATGTATGTAGAAACCACTAACGGTGAAGGAAAATATCGCGAGGAAACCTGGGCTTATAATGTTTAAATTATACGTTTGAAATCACCAACCTACATTGAGCAAGCGTGGTGGTAATGCTCAAGGATTTTCCTTGTGAGAAGAGGCTTTTGGTCTGCAGTGACAACTATGTATTTTTTTTTGAGGGGGGAAATCATCGAATGACTTCTCCCGCCTGGGTGAGGCGGGAGGGAGTGTCAGACTCTTACTGACTAAAAACCACCCCGTTCCTTCTCCTGCACGTCGAGCCGGAGCCCCGGTTACCCGTTAGGTTCTCTGTATAGGCTGTTGATGTGTGTGTGTAATGTAAAACTGCTCGGTTGAACCAGCGAGGCAAACTTAGTAAGATGTCCTTCAATATGTGTATTATTGTCATGTTCTAAAATTGGCAAGAAAAGTGTGTAAGTCAAAGACTTTATTTTATTTACACGTTGTTTAATGTAGTCTTAAAATGTCTCCTAAAATTAATAAGTCGTAGATATGAAAGACCGCAAATGTTTGGAACGTAAACATTTCTGACGTTGGCTTTCGAGCGTGAAGATTGATCCATACATTATTCGATCTCACGTTTTTATAGGTAAAATCTTAACTAAGTGAAAATAAATAGCTTGAATTTTTGGCTGGCTCTTTTTGTCAAGTAAAGATTTAATCAGATTGCAAAAACATCTACTTATTAGTTCGGTATCGTGTAGTTTTCATTCACTTTGCACATTCATATTATTAGTATGCTTTCGATTTGAGAGGTCGTCAAATACAACTAAAGTAACGACCTGATTTTGGGTTTTATAGATTGGCCGTGTTTTGTCACGGATTACGAGATTAACACGAATTTTATAATGATGTTCGATGTTTAACAAGATGACTGGAATATAGTAAAGAAAATGTATAAGTGCGCAGATGAAAGTGTAATATTCACATTTCCACACGTGTTTAATTTCAGCTTAAAGTGCACTTGAGAATCTAAAGTATTATCTTACCACTTAGATTACGAACAATTTGTAATGTCAACGATTTGCTCATTATGTGAGTGTTGTATTAATCCGATTGTAATGAAGTGATTGCGACATGATCTTAAGAATTGTCTTTCTTCAATCTGAATACATAATGGTATACAATGGATTAGTACACTTGTAGATATCATTTACCTACTTACAACAGGTGCATCACGTGGCAGTCGAGTGGCGGTACAAGCGCCGTTGTTGTACGCTTTGACTAATTACCGCTGTATTTCCAGCTGCCGCGCCTACGCTCCTTCTAATCCATTGTTGACGCCAGAAATCTTCATTTTTGTAAGCTGATGATGTGTGATCCGAAATAGTTTAACTCCAGTCAAAAAATAAACGTAGACTTAGCTTGTTTCAAGTTCAAGCGTCGATTGGGAAAGAATGATTTTGAAATTGTCAGTGACAGTGTTAATTTTGGTATTGTTCCCAGCATTGCCATTAGATCATGTCTCGTAGTTTTTCTGACGTATGATGATGATTCAAAATGTTTTCTAAACCCCTCATGATTTTCGTATGTTAATTTGTAAGGACTGACAGATATCAATTCGTACTCAGCCATCAATACTTGGTGAGGAGTGCAAGTTGTTGAAATTTTAAATGAAATAGACGATTTGGCTGTTATCAAGGAAATATATTCATAGATATTATATAAGCATACGTAGACAGAAAGCAACATAGTGTCTACTACGCATTTGGCTAGGATAATATTCAGCATTACTTATACCTAAGTTGTTGCAAGAAAAGGCGATGGTTTCCCACGTGTATTCGAATAAATGATATCTATTATGTATTAAAGGCGTTTGACCTCAGATTACACACATGTCAGCATTCGATGCCAAACTGCGTTAATGACGTAATAGGGATTGTAATATTGTATTACATAGTATCAATTAGTTACCACTTTTCTAGAAAGCTAGAAATAGTAAAAGGTACTTTATATAGAGCTACTTACAATCTAACTTCTTTATGAATTAGCGACATCTTTCAAAGATGACTTGCGTAAAATTTTGAAGTAGTGCACTTGTCTATCAATTTCATTTTAACCTTTTCAATATTGGATCAAGGTCGGTCGATCGTCTTCTCTTTAATCAGTCACAAAGTTCTATTTTGTTTACTGGCTAGATTTTTAGAAATGATGTATTTATGTATTTCATTGCTAAATCATAATGATAGTATTAAAAAGCAATAAACTTTTAAAAGTGAAGTTTTAGATAGGAATTCACTGTTAATTCAGTTCTTAATTTCGATTTTTTGCTCACTGAACCTAAGAGCTACCCTTATGTAAAAGTGCCTGCTCTCTTCATATTTCAATATAAATAAATGTGACTAGTGATGGAATGCCGACTTACGTTAATATTTATTTTAATTCAAAATATAAACATCAAATTCCATGTCTTGGAAACATGACAGCAAAGATATAAAATTTAATGAAAGCTCACTACTGTGCTTGTTTATTTAGAAAATTTTAATATTTTACTGAAAATGATGGGAACTATTAACGTTTTTTTTATACTTTATACGTGGAGGAATTTGAAATAGGTACTTACCTTCACAGATTGAAACCTGCTTTGATGTCGCCTCTACGAACTATTTCAAGCGTTTCTTAAGAGTAGATTTTTCAGTAACTTAGTTTTGATCGACTAGGATAAACATTTTTGTTTACGAATTTTCTTGTACAAAACCTATATCGCATGAAGGAATGTTTTTGATCATACTTTGCATGTGATCCTGTTTTGACTAGTTCATGATGAATCAAGACGAACCTATGGTAACGATAAGTGTGTTGTCAAATATTTATTTGCGTGTCAGTTTTTTATTCAGACATTCTAAGGGCTGCCTATAGACAATCAGGAAGAACAAGTTCGTACTTAAGCTTAATTATTATATAACGTTGTCCATAGTAACTTTTGACCGAATTACCTCTTAAACATTGTAGTCAATATATAACATTGTGCCAAATGTAAGGTCAATGGCTACAATCAATGTCAATTTGTCCGTATACCCACCAGACAGATTTAGATTCGGTACGGAGTCATTGCTACGATATTTGATCGAACCAATGAAACATTACGTTTCTTATGGTGTTTCAACAAAAATATGTTTTGTATGAAGTGATGAAAAATAACGTCAACAAACAGTGTGTAAATAGTGTCTATAAATATTTTGTTAACTAGCTTTTGGCTGCAGTGGTGGTAGCGTGGGATAGTGATATATTTAGATGTATGTTGTTGCGCCATCTATTGGTAGTCGCTTTGCCTTTTTTGGGTTTCGCTGATATGAAAGTGATTACTAATAAGCTAAAATTAATTTGTTAACAGATAATATTCGTTAAATAGTTCTGAAAAAGTTTTTAAGCGTCAGTTCGCTACAGTTAGCCACAAAATCTAGTATCGTAGAGTGAGCTTATTTCCGAGAACTGGGCAAAATCTAGGCTATATAGGTATATATAACTACAAACAATTCTTTCGACTGGGCACCATATCGATAATTAGGTACTATTTGAATACTACAATCATTTCTAACATACCTATTCAGACATGAAACATTTTACTATAACAAACATTCATTCATTGGTTTTAATATAAATTCGCGTGTGTGTAGCGACCAATAAAATCACGTTTGTTTAATAAGGTCACGCAGAAATAACTGTCGCGCCGAAAGCATTCTTTCAATTTACGTCGACTACGGCTAGACAAGAGAAATATTACTCTGAGCTTGTCAGTTCAGCGGCATTTTGCATGGAATGTGTGAGATAAATTACTTATTATAGCTTTGAAAGCAATAAATGTAACATAGATGTTATTTTATAAGAATGATGAAAAACAGTAACAAAAAAAAAAAAACAGTAGCCCATCAAAGTCAAAGTCAAAGTCACAATTATTTATTTCAATTAGACCAGAAAGGCATTTTTGAACGTTAACAAAAAAAATAAAAGTGTAGCTATTTGCCCATGATTATAGACAGCGAGATATCTATGTATGAATTAAAATACATTTAAGATTGTGCGCTGGATTTTATGCTTGAAAATATAGCGAACAATAAATGATTTACTCGCTTTTATATGAATGAAAATTACAACTTATATGCATATTGATTGCAAGATATATGTAGGTACAGGTATGAATAATATAATTTTAATCTTTACTAAATCCAGAGCCGAACTTGTTATTATTCGGTACTTTGCCCATAATCTCACGTCCTTCGTCACAATAAATATACAAACAAATGGTATGAAATAATTTATTTAACTTATTTACAACAGTAATAAAATTACCTTTTTAATTATCTAAACTAATCACAGATTACTTAACTTTACTAACTTAATTTTAAGTAACAAGAATACTGTTTGAATAGTCTTTCCTTATTCAGTTTTCTGATGGATCATTTCTATAGTATCAGAGATAGTGACGGTGCAACCTGAGACAAGACTGAACATGCCACAGAAGACGATGATAATGTTTTTGTATAGAATCCAATTGCATCTGCCAAGGTCTTCCCAGCGAAAGACGGTTTCGATGACGCCTGGTATGATGAGACCAAGGATAGAGTAGAACAAAGCACCGACCAGGTTGATGATCTGCTCCAAGAATGGAAGCGCGATACCGATGCCACCTGTAAAATAGATTGTAATATAAACATTTGTTTTCATACATAGAATATGAATGAGAATACCTTTAATAGAAAAATTGACACAACTGATAAACCCAAAAGTTTAAAACTGAACGAAGATATTAATAAAATACTACAAAAAGTTTTTTATTAATATCTTCGTTCGTTTCTTTGAAACACTTTGAAACGTTTAATAACTTCTTAGATATTACTGAAAGTAATAAAGTAAATTGTAACAATTGAGTAGTTACGACCTAAGTAATTTACTCATTTACACTAAAGTAAATATACAGTACAGTACCAAACTGTATGTTAAGGTTATGTTTTACAGAAACGATACAAGGTCGCTTTTCATTTAACACAAGTAGAACACTCTTTACAATTTTGCGAGATTTACAAATTATGGCTTGTTTACAGGTAGGCGTAGGATTATTATGACAATTTAAATTTATTACTGTCCATTCTATGTGGGTCAGTTATATTTGTTCTGTTGAGATATTCAAATTACATTAAACCGCAAAAATCATTTTTATCTGCCCCTAATTTCTTTAATTTTTTTATAGCATAAGCTGGTAAACGAGCAGACGGATTACCTGATGGTAAGCAATCGGCGCCTCCCATGGACACTCGAAACACCAAGGCGTTACAAGTGCGTTACCTTTTGGGAATTGTGAATTTGAGGATTGTGGGGGATTCGGGGATATCTGTAGTATTTGCCGAAATAAACTTTATGACAAGTTCAGGGCTAATAAGGCACTGTTCATCTTAAATTAATACCAAGTTCTCATACTAATAAAATACTCACCACAAAAGCAAACGATTAATATTCGAGTAGATATTTGCATAACGTTGTGGTACTTTTCTTGCACACGTGGTTGAACGTATCTTGTAAATATGTCAATCACAACGAAGAAATGTAGAGGGTAGGTTAGAAAAATTGTCACCGATATGAAAGACTTAGCACATATTGCTGGCCTGAAACAAAAAAGAATACATCATATTTTATAGTTTTTTTTAAAGTGATGCCAATTGCTTTTTTCACTTAAGAATATTAGTTTAATTTTTGACTGCACGTTTGGTGCGGTAGCTGGGCAACCGACTGCCGTGCAACGTGTCGCGGGTTTGATTCCCGCACGGAACAACACTTTGTGTGACCCACAAATTGTTGCTTCGGGTCTAGGTGGCATTGTGTATGTGAACTTGTATGTTTGTAAACGCACACACGCCACAGGAGAAAATCTTAATGTGGGGAAAGGATTTAAAAAAATAAATAAAAAAAGTTTAGAAAACAAATATTTTTATGGGTTGGACCTATAACGGGTCCCTGAGAAAACCCCGATTTAAAAAAGTATTTAAGTAATTTTAACTTGTACTTTGAACATAAACCGTTGTCCAAATAGGAAAACGTTTTAAGTAAATAAGGATATTAAAACCTACCAGTCATCCATCGGGAGGTTTAACGTAATAGTTCCTCTGAGGGCTTCTCCATATCTTAAGTAACCGAAGACACCCAAGATAGTGTAGAAGCACATCACCAAGGTCATTGCAATCACCATGACGCTTGGGCATCCGAGGAAATGTTGGGGTTTCTTCATCGTGTTCTCCACTGGCATCACCACTCCTATACCTTCCATTGCGAAGATCACAGTTCTGTGAAGCAGAATAAAGTTATAATTAGACTCATAGAAATTAAACTCATCAACGTCATATTTTTTATGGTATAAGCCGGTAAACGAGCAGATGTATGATGTGATGGTAAGCAATCGGCGCCGCCCATAGACACCTGAAATACCAGACGCGTTACAAGTGCGTTACTGGCCTTTTGGGAAGTGGGAATTTGAGGATTGTGGAGATTAGGGAATCTCCCGAATCCCCGAATCCTCCGGAGTTATTTGGGCTTCCGTAAACTTCACTCACACGACGAAATACAACTCAAGCGTTGTTTCACGTTGGTTTTCTGTGGGGCCGTCGTATCACTCCGGTCGAGCCGGCCCATTTGCCGAAGCATGGCTTTCCCGCCCTTATTTACTTTTATAATTTTTCACTGTTTATATAACTAACATATAATCGTGTTACTATTTAAATACATATTTTCGTAAACTATGGTGATAAAACATTCAATCATTTATCACATTCTTACGTATTTAAAAACAAAAGAAACATAAAAAATAACTGTTCTATAGAAATTTAATTTCAACGCAAACTTTGATTTAATTACTCCGAATCGTAGAATCATAATAGTAAACAAAGGCAAAACTAGCCATTAAGTGTAACACATAATGCAAAATCATCGTCTTCGTCATTTAAGTAGGGACCTAATAGTGTTATAAGTATTCACTGTAAAATTACAGCGTTCTGCAAAAACAATGGATAATTTTCATTACGACCATGGAATTGCGTCTAGGTATATCATTATTTATTTCACGAATCTGCAACGTGACAACTAAGATGAAGTACTTTACTAGATATAGATAAATTAAAGGCGTTATGGGGACTATTTGAAATTACTGACCTAAGATACTAGTTAATAGTTAGCTGTCTATGTGTAACTTTATAAAGTGTATACATAAAATATGTTAAAAAACAATAGTTACAACAAAACCTCTGTTTTACCATTGACTTTGATACTGATTTCATACTATCCAAAATTGCATGCAACGTCTTCAAGACAATTTACTTACGATAAAAACGCAGGGAGTCTTGATAAATCCCCAACAACCCTTTTGTCGCTGACAGTCAGTGGTTCCCTGAATATGTAGTAGAGACATATTGCGAAGGTTGCAAACAGTAGGATGTTGGCAAGTAAGGAGAACGGTGCGAGCCACTTCAAGTGCCTGATCTGACAGAGAAGGCAAAGTGGCGCCAGTAACATTAGGCAGTATTGCTCCACTGGAATGTCCGTCGTCGTCAAATACGAGTCGAACAACTGTAACAAAGAAATTAAAGTGCTGTAAATATACATTTTCTTGGGACCAAATCACGTCATCAATCACAATTACATCAATAACATTAGGTCTCTCACATAAGAAGGGTTTACCATAATGCCAGAAATTGGCAGGTGGCTTGGTATCGCGGATTCAGTCACGAAGCCATCGTGGGTCATTCATCATGGTCATCTCGCTCAGTGGCTGATTGTAATATTAGGACATTCCCTAGTGAATGTGACACACACCTTCATAGTTTTAGTAATCACAGTACATTATTCTCAAGTGCGTTGTGTAAGAGAAAAGATAATGTAATAGGTAATTTCTAACAGATAATGGTGAGAAATCCCGGTATTTTCTATATCGATTTCTTCATGAGAACATGATATTATAAATAAAGAAGGATAATTATAAATATCCTTATGACTAAATGAAAGTAAAAGCTACCACACTTACTGTATATCAATATTTTATACGATTTATTTTTGGTATCGGTATTACGCAAAAAAAGGAGTACTAACGTGATTAACCGAAAACGCAAAGATGATGAATTGTTCAATTCTCCGCATCATCAGATGACATTATCAAGTTGTTGTAATATCATCTCTACATCTTATCATTTAAGATGTGCAAAAGAGATTAGGAAAGCATAATGTCTGAAGCAGATATCATGAAAATTAAATATATCTTTGCTCGCATTGCATTATTATGACACCAATCTATTTGTTCAGTTGATGATGTCGCTAGTTTCTTTGTCAAATTAGTTTCTGTACGTCACTCTGTTTTGGGTTTTATTAGTTTCGGTTTTCGGCACCTGTATACATATTTTGGCGCAATGTCCTCGTTGTCATTCAAATTATTATACTTTTATTTCTTACTTAATTAGTTCTATAATAAAGATAGTTGTCGTATACTGTGTTGCGTATAGCTATTAGCTACCTGCCCATTTTTAAAGTTTAATAGAAATGTTATAGACCATCTAACACCATTTAACTTTTTGCAGTATTATGTGCAATGCAGAAAAGAATCTTGTAGAATACAAGGAAATAAATAAATTAAAAATGCTCATATTGATATGTTGTCCTTACCTGCTTAATTGAAGTTGCTATTAGCACAGTAAATATACAACAGACGCCAAGGTACGTGAAGCATAAGGAAAATTCCGCAAATAAACTGTAACAAAGGAAAAAACACTTTATTAACACGACATGAAATGTTATATTTTGATGACATGTTTGCTAAATAGAATAGGATTTTGTACGGGTTGTTTTTAAACCGATACAAAAACTTGAAATTTTGAATATTTCATATCTCATTATGATGCAAGTCTTGCGTCAGTATGCAAATAATTTAGATATTTTTATTAGAAATAGTGGGTTTTTTTTTTAAGAGGGGAAAATCATCGAATGACTGCTCCCGCCTGGGTGAGGCGGAAGGGAGTGTCAGACTCTTACTGACTAAAAACCACCCCGTTCCTTCTCCTGCACGTCGAGCCGGAGCCCCGGTTGCCCGTTAGGTTCTCCGCGACTCCGAATCGGCATCGGCCCTATTGAGCCCCATATGTGGTGGTCTGATGGCTCTTTGAGGCGTACGCGGAACGCTACGCGCCGTACGCTCGGGTCTGTTTCTGGTCGGAGTTTTGCCCTAACAACTTTATCAATGAATGAGTTACAGGAGCTCAGGTATACTAAATAGATAATTATCTGTAACAAGAATATAGGTCTTGTATCTTACTGTGCAAAGTTGGCGAGTGGTCGGACACATTTGGGTCCATTTGCAAACGCTGACCGACACGTTTCTGAGTAACTTAGTAACGGCTTCCTTTCTAATCGACAGCACCCTCGGGATGTTTCTACCTGAAAAGTAATATTATTTTTTATTGATATAAGATTTGACTAAAATTTTAATTGGTTTGCTAAATTCTGTAGTCACATATCTGTTATAATAAAATGAAATAATTTAAAAAGAAAAGGTGTATCCAATGGAGTAACTTTATTGTTAACCGACTTCAAAAAAAGGAGGAGGTTCTAAATTCGACCGTGTATATGCCTTTTTTTAACTAGAGGATCATTATCCAGTGCCTCTGTGATGGCATATTTCTATTAAGGGCTTTTTAAGATTTATTCAGTGTATTGAATATGTGTTCGTTAACTGCAACTGCATCGTATCTCGTATACGCGTGAGAAAGTCGTAATTTTGCACAGCACATGAAATTAAGTAGTTTAAAAAGCCATTAAATTCTCCCGTTTTCAAGTACAACGTAAGGCGTACTTTTATTTGTTTACTGCACGTGCATTGCCATGCGCTACGCAAGTAAACAAAAATACGTGAAAACTACACTTATTGATTTTAATCACGGTCTCCATTGAATTTTGCATTGCTTTTCTCATTTCTGTAAATACGAAGATAAACTAGATAATAGAAAAAAGAACCTAAACGAAAATACTCACAAATATATGTACACAATGTCCGCAGATAAAGGCCACTATCACTGTTCCTACAATGCCAACTCCCCAACCAGCATTCGAGAATGCTAAAGGCATAGCAAGTAGTCCTGACCCCAAAGAAGACTTTATAAGATTCGCCAAGGATCTAAGGTCTCTGAAAAATAAATATTTATTCATTGAAGATGTATGAAATCGACGCTTATTCTTGCATCTTTAAAGTTGCGTGGAATATTTTCAAAGGTCACAAAGAACAGTCTAATACATAAAATAAAATTGATTGGCCTTTTCATTGTAAGTTCACGGTTAGTCTCACTATATTTTAAAATAGACCATGTGAAAAGTAGGCCAAATTCTATCAATGATTGTAATAAGTATTGATTAAGCGTTGTCCACGTTAGGGACGGCTACAAATTCGCTGATTGTCTGCAATATTACGCGTAGTATCCACTAATCATTTGGACCACGTGCCGTCCCGAGTGATGCAACATTATAAACATATTTTGGGACTTGACCCAATCGATGTATGGGATTGCCATGATAGGATGATTTAAATTTGAGCGCAATGTAACGATCTTTTCACGGTCAGCGGTATAACATAATAACTTGACTGTTTACGAAGTTCAGAACGTATGATTAAAAGATAATTAACTATCATGCTTATCTCTAGTTAAAGAAATTACGGGTTTGTTCTGTTTTTTATGGGATTATGTAAGAAATGAATAATATTACTTACGAATTTGGTTTGACAACCTCCCGATGCTCGAAGGGGTTGTATTCTTCAATGTCTTTATTTTTTTCTTTCTCACCCATGTTTGCGAACTAAATGTGGTTCAGAGGAAAATGAAAGTCTTAAATAGCAGTGACTTTATTAATTTTTCGGTAGTTAAGTCTCATCGACTCCTGCTGTAGATAATGCACTTAGTAATTGTTGTCAATAAACATTTAGCGTCCACTTCACCACCAGTAACTTGTGATATCACTTTGCTATTCTACTTCATGCAGTATGTGAAGGTTGCGCACTTTTTCTTATTTGTATTGACGATTACTCTTACAAATGTTTTACAGTCATTAACCCTTATCTCTTACGAAAGATAAATTCTTGAGAAGGATAACGTTTCTTTGGTTTGTCATTAAAGTGATAAAAATCTGCTCGGAAAATGTTCATCAAATAAAACTTCTCATAGTGATATAAAGTTAAGAAAAACGTGAGTTAACTCGATTGCCGGGATTAAAACTGTCCAAACACTTTACTGAATCACTTTTATTGTTATTCATATTTTTCTTATTAAACAAACATTGCAACTCACTAATAAATTTCTTGTTCCTTGCATAAATAATTTAATGAAATTATTTGATTGAATTGGCTCGATGGATCGAATTGCATTGGCTCTGCATATTTTTGTTGCGATTAATATTTAGTTGCGAATACTTGAGAAAAGTGAGAGACGCGGTCACAGTAAACACGTACTAAAGCCGACTGATTCTCCATCGCCGCTCTTATAGATCCACGTGACGAGTACCGAACGCAATCTAGGCACTAACTCATGACAATATGACTGTAAGATTATCAATATAAATGTGTGAATGACTTTTCATATACTTATAATTTTTACATGTCACTATATCTTGGACATCGTCTGTTGGGTATCTCATTTTATATTTATTTTCTTTCTTTCTACATACCTACTATCGTTAAAATATCCTGACAACGCAAGATGTGGTCGAGTTTCATCAAATAAATACTAGTTAAGTGGGTTCACAGAGATGTGCCGAAATAGGCGTTGTACCTCAGATTACTTAGTTACTACGTTGTACGATGGGTGTTCCGGATTTGGTCTGAACAGACCCTTATTTAAAGGAAGCAATCACACTAATACTATTAATGTATAAGTTATTTATTTGTATGTTTGGATGTTTGTCCGTCAATCATGCTGAACTGAACGGATTTTGATCAAACTTGGAATACAAGGTATGGGCTGACTTAGGTGATAGGATACTTTTTATCCTGATTAAATGCTCGATAGGATAAAACAGGAATCATATTCTACGCGGACAAAATCACGAGCAACAGCTAGTGTTTTCATAAAGTTGCTGGTGGTGGTCAGACTCCCATACTATCACTTCATCTCTTCCCTAAAAACTGGGTGCCTTTTAAATATTTTCCTCGACACTAAAAAGGTGGTAAGTAAATAATAAGTGCTATTTTTCATTAAAATTATGACAAAACTTTTCGTGCATACTGTTCTTATCAAATGTTACAATGTCTGCGAGACAACCTTTGGAGAGAGTAGGTAGGTACTTCAATAATAAAAGGTTATGATAGTAATTGTTATTGAAAATATCCTTATCATCCAAGTACTAATTAGCTGTGAAATTAGTACATGGTGCTTTTTATAAAAAAAAATAAGTTCGATTTTCGACTCCTGTATTGCAGTACTGGATTTTATATCTGTGTAGATGTATTTATAAATAGTGAAATAACTAGTAGATATGATGATAATATCCGATGGTCATAATAGTTAATTATGCTACCTGTAGCTACTCAATGACGTAGTATTACTACGTGGGTAAATCCATAGATCTAATTATAGTATGCATTTTTTAACTCGTCGAGTACCGGTTTTATAGACACAATTAAAGAACAATAGGTCGCGGTCACCGGTGACCGCTTGGTGTTTGACAGATTAATCGGTAGTTTCCCCTGAATAATTATTAAATTATTTACTACATATTAATGTACCATTGATACTGTCGCATATTACACTTATTTCAATGATTTAAAAGTAAACGTAATTATGTAAGTAGGTATTTCATAGTTTTTACTATTTTATTATAACTGATCAGAATATTTACAGGCTTCATGTGAATTAAAAAAATTCTAATATTTATTTTTCTTTTTGACTTTTTTTTATGTGTTTAATTAGTTTCTTTATTTTTCCTTTCCTTTTTTTCTATGTTTCTTATGTTAATTTTAGTTGTAAATACTTTAGTTTTTATTTATCTTAGGTATAGTTATTTATTATTTTGTTTATATCTATATATAGGTACCTACCTAGATTAGTTTAGTTTTTTTAATGTACAGATATAATAATCTAATATTCAATAATTTTCCACTGCTTTTCCGAAATTCTGAAATCGAACCTCACATTTGTGTGACTGCCACATTTGCGACCAGTTACTCAACCAAAATGGTATTTAAAAATAACCTGAACTCAACCTACAAGTTCAGTAACCACCTGTCTGTCCCAAATTATATTAAATTGACATAAGTTATTCAAAAACCACGTCAATTTCTCGACGTTGTCAACGAAATTCAACACTTCAAAGCCTTGGTATTTTACACGTGCCCATTATCTTTTAGAAGCAAAAAACTACAATAAACCTGTCGTGACGTCATCGGGTAAGTGTTCGCGTTATGTCAAGTGTAACTTGCTTGGTGTTTAATGATTGATAATAGAAGTCACAGATAATTGAGAGTTTGTTAGCCCATTTCTTCATGAAGTAGGGGTACATCCTGTATATCGAGTGATTGTTCTGGGACTATCCACTTGCGAAATGATTCATAGGATACACCTAGCATTGGAGAAATGTTAAGAATCTATGGAAAAATCTTTATAAAAGTATATAGGACGATTTAATTTATCGATTTACTTACAGACATCTAAGTCATGTTCTTTGTGTATCTGTGGCTTAGTCAACAGTGGACGACTATTGTAGAATGTTCTATAAACAAAATTACGGAGTTTCCAAATAGTAGCAGAAAACATTAACAGATTAAACATAGTAATTGTTCTTCTAAATTGTACCTCACCTTGTGAGTTAAACGATTCATTTTGGGACAAGTAAATAAATAATGAGACAGTCGTTGTATATAATTTACAATTTAATACTAAGTTTGGCTACATGAAAATTGTTATTGTTATTCAGTTTTCTCATTCAGAATCTTGATTATATCCATGATTGTGACGGTACATCCTGACAAGAGGCTGAACATTCCGAATAAGAAGATGAATCCATTCTTCCACAGTATCCAGTTCCATTTACCCAGGTTCTCCCATTTGAAGACAGTTTCTATGACACTGGGGATCACAAGGCCAAGGATAGAGTAGAACAGTGCTCCAACTATGTTGAGGATTTGCTCCAGTAGGGGAAGCGCCATTCCTATACCCACTGAAAAATGAATGGACAAAGAAGTTTGTTAAGGTCTGCTTTCTGATTAAATTTCTATTAGTCTTATATGTGAAAGAGCTCTTTTTTACGACGACAACGACTTCTCTTGCCCCCGTGAGGCGAGAGGGAGTGTCAGACTATTATTGACTAAAAACTACCCCGTTCCTACTCTTGCACTTCGAATCGAAGCCCCGGCAACCCGTTAAGCCCTCCACGGCTCCGTGTAGGTATCAGCCCTATTGGGCCCCATCTGGGGTGGTCTGATGGCTGCTTGAGGCGCGTGCGGAACGCGATGCGCCGTGCGCTCGGGCCAGGTTCTGAGTGCCAAGCACGAATAACTATCGCATTCGTATCGTCACAGTATCGAGCGAGTTAAGAATTCTGAGGGCCAAGCACGTATAACTATCGCATTCGTAACGTAACAGTATCGAGCGCGTTCGGCACTCTGATTGGCCGGCTCAAGTGAACCAACCAATCAGAATGCTTAACTCGCTCGATACTGTTACGATACGAATGCGATAGTTATTCGTGCTTGGCACTCTGATTGGTTGGTTCACTTGAGCCGGCCAATCAGAGCGCCGAACTCGCTCGATACTATTACGTTACGAATGCGATAGTTATACGTGCTTGGCACGATGGTCGGTCGGCGAGTTGCCCGTGCTCACCGCCCACAGGCCCGTGCTTACGTTGGCCATGTGAAAGAGCTCCAACTGACTCTTTTCTTTGATCATTATTATCATGTTTGTAAATATTATCTAGTTACGGAAAGTTGATTAAGACAATAACACAACAGTAGTTGTTTAGTTTTCTATCAGTAGAACCTTTTCAATGTTGATGTGAATAAATCCTATCTATACGAGTGTTACAGTACTTAAGTGTAGTGATAACGCGACCAACGATGATCAATTAGGATATTCATCGAACAGAAATATTATTCGATATGGGAGGTGCATTTCTGATATCGATAAGTAGCGAATGCAAAATAAAATGAACTATACGAATAAAACTTAATATTTCACTATTCCTCTTATCTTTTATAGGTTTTTAATGAATCAATTTAATCCGTACGAGTCAGTAAATTAAATTAAAAATATCATAACATTCGTCACAATTGACCGACATTTGCAATCAGTGGTTTAAACGTCGGTTTAATTAGTAGGGCTGTTAAACGCATGTATATCTGAATTTCATTTTATTAAGTTACATGGTCAGACGTAGCACGACATGTAGGTATTGGAAAATGTACCATATTAATTACATGTAAGTGCTTGTTTTTAAATGTTATAGCAATAACTAGGTTTATCGCCTCGAAAGCAAAGGTCCACCTTATTAACTGAAAGATCGTAATTGATACTGGGGACAATTTTGGACAATCCTGGTAGTTAGTAGGAATATTTACTAACAATGTTCAATTACATTATTTCATTCTAAACTACGTCAAATTATAGTAATCAACTTTTAACTGGCACAAGTTAAATCATCGCTACAGTTGACAATGACTAATGAGGTTTTCGAAATGAAAAACCTATTTTTTTGGGAAAACCAATCCAACTAAAGGTTTACTAGTCAATTTGTTGCACATATTTACGGGTTTAGATGTTATGATATTCGCAAATGTATTTAAACATCTATATTCGTAAACCTACATATGCATTCTTTGGACAGCGAGAAAAAATGCTCTTCTATTGTAGTATAGCATTTTCTCAAGTGTTGTATGGAAATACCAGATTTTTGTACGATCACAAAGTCACGATCAAAAGTCCGTATAGCATAGTAAGGACCTACCACAACAGCACACTCCCACAGTCCTGGCCACTATTTGAATTATCTGCTGATAGTTCTCCTTTATATGAGGCTGAGTGTACCTCGTGAAGATATCAATGACCACGTAGAATTGCAGTGGGTATGTCAGGAATATTGATAACGCTATAGAAACCTTGGCTAATACTGCTGGCCTGTAAAAAAGAGAAGAGAATTAGGATTATAGACTTAAATAAACATAACAAACATAACATAACATCACGCCTTTTTATCCCCGAAGGGGTAGGCAGAGGTACACATTTCGGCACTTAATGCCACTGTACAATGTAACACCCACTTTTCACTATATATGTTATGAGTCCCATGTAATAGGGGTGAGCCTATTGCCATATACCCGGTACATTTCCAGACTCCGTTCTACCACTGAGATTTTTAAAAACCCAGTAATACTTTGCCCGACCCGGGAATTGAACCCGAGACCCCTTGCCCAGCAGTCGCACTTGCGACCACTCGGCCAACGAGGCAGTCGCAACTTAAATAAGTGAATATGAATTTTGTCTATCCGACATGGTTTTTAGCAAAGAACGGAAAAACAAAAATACGGAAAGGTTGCAACAATATTAAAAAACGAGTTTAGAGACTAAAATTTAGATACATGTTTGGATAGTTTTGTATTTGATTATTCATGTTTTTCCTTATTTTGGCATATATAGGCAATAGGCGTATAATGAACCTTCTTATCATGCAACAAAGAGTTCTTCCAGAACCAACCTTTGATTTTTAATTGTGTAGGCAACATTCATGGTTGTAAAAATAAATTGATAATATACAATTTTTAAGTATTTTTCAGTTCATATGTAGAATTCATCACAACCGAGAATTTTATCGATGCTACGGTTTAGTTATGACTAAGTACTATACTAAATACTAAGTACAAAGTAATATGTTACTAGCTTCACTGTCAAGGTTATCAAGTTTATGGACTAAGTATTTAGAAGCTAGAATTTATACCTATACAAAAACTAATTCAAGATGCGATGTGGTTACGTTAGTTTTAATATTAAAATTAATGATAGAATGATACTGGAGAATGGAAAGAAATCAAGTTAGTTCCTCTTTTTGGCTGAAAGTACTTAAGGCCTGTGACGTGATTAAAATAGTAAAAAATGTGTATAATCCTATCCCATAACAGGGAAGACAGTTCACTTATTTTTTGGATTTGATGTTTAATGAAAATTGTCAAAACATTTTTGGTCTAATACTAAACGTAGATTTGAAATGTATATACCCACTAACCATTCATCAGTAGGAAGGTTAAGAGTGATAGAACCTCTTAACACGTCGCCATAACGGAGGTATCCAAACATGCCAAGAGTTCCGTAGAGGAAGACGATAGCTCCCATGGCTACCACCAGCACACTTGGACAACCCAAGAAGTTCTGTGGCTTCTTCATTGTGTTCTCAATTGGCATCACTACTCCAACACCTTCCATTGCGAATATTACTGTCCTGAAATGTAATTTACATTTTATATAATTTATAGAACAATAAATTGCTTTAACATTGTTATTTTTTTCGGCACTAGGCGATGCCGCGATGTGGTCTCTCAGAGAAGACACAAAACCCTTCGATTAAATAAAAAGTAAATTGCTTTATTGTTTAAACATTTATTACGTGTTTTATTGTTATATTTATGTCTCATTGTTGTTTTACAAATAGAAAATAATGAGAATAATATAAAATCCGAATAATGCAGAGGTTGAGGTTAGTTTCATGTTTTTAGTTCTAGTCGCATATGTCGCAACAACGTAAAAACGGTTAATTTAATATTACAAGCAGAAACATTTATGCCCCTTATGTTATACATAGTTTTTGTCTTTATACTTACGATAAAAATGCCGGATATCTGGCAGGATCTCCGGCAGCCTGTTTTCCTTCGAACGTTAATTCTCCTCCAAAGATATAGTACAGACATACAATATATACGGTAAACAGTAAAATGTTGGCGATCCCGGAGAATATCGCGAGGAACTTGAGGTACTTGATCTGACATAGTAATATTATTGGTACTAGTATTATAAGACAATAGTACTCTACTGGTAAGATGGTGGATGGAGCGTAGCGATCCACCAACTGAAAAGAAAAAAAAAACAGTTATTATTTCTCCATTTTTCTTGCAGTCATAAAACTAGGAAATTAAGACAATTAATAGGCGTAAAGGATTCCCTGATACAATCTAGTTATAGTGGTTTAATAGGTTTAATCTATTGTTAAGGTCAGTCGTATATTTATGTATGATAATGTAAGTATTGAGTTAAGCCTATTGTTTAGCACAATAAACGACGGTTAAAGCTGTATGTAACAAATCTGTTTGATAAGAGTGGATTAAGATGAAATGAAATAAATGAAAGATACTCTCAATCTACGCATCGGGGGAACTGACTTTACAAAAATTTTCTCACATAAATTATTTTAATAATATTTTCATCTTCTGGCCGGTATTAAAACAAAGGGTCAGTCCCATATTATAATAGAATTAGGTAATATTATGACGGTTATACTTTGGTATGTGCTTGGAGGAATCATAATAAAGATTCACACTGAAAAACGTCTCACACTTTTAATTGATAAAATAGTGTAGGTAATGGTTCTAAATTTAGGTAACCACTTTAAAATCAAACAGTTTGTTTGTGTAGTCAAGTGTATCGTTTATTTACCAAATCATTTTCCACTTCTAGCTCCTACAACGTCATTATAGTTGTAAATTTCTTTACGATTGTCAACTTAGTCACACGTCTACGTAAATCTTGAGTGGGATTTATTGCCAGGCGTTAAAAGTATCAAGAAAGCTTAAATAGTTATCAATGTGTCATTAAATGATAAACATTAGTCTAAAGAGAAACATCAGTTTACGTTTTTTTTATTTTTTGGTGCAAACGTGAGTATAGACATTACGAAAGAATTATTGATACATTTCTTCTAAAAGTTATTGTTATCAAAGGAGATTAGATTTTATATATTACAAAGTTAAATTATTGCCTGGTGAATTTTCAAAACAATTTAACAAAGATTAACAAGTCATTATTCTTAGCCCGAAATTAACAATTAAAACACAACGTATTTAGTAAAGTTAAACTACGTCATTGCTCTAAAGCAATATAATAAATATATTGATGGCGATAAGTTACAAATATGCTTAACAACGGGAGGATAATGATTTGTTAAATAAATGTTAAAGTTTTTCAGACAATTGAACGCCTACGTCATTCGACTGGTCCAACCAGTACTGGTCGGTAGGTGCATTAGGTACTAGGTTTTTCGTTTTTTAATATTCTGATTAATCACGCTGCGTCTGAATTTGTGTCTCAGAGGGCAATAGTTTCGTCATCTTTTATTACGTAGGTTTACAATTCATAAGAAATTGCATTATTGCAATTTGCAACTAAAAGCGATTATTAACAGGAATATTAATTTAAATAAGTCTTTAAGAGGTGATTTCTTACCAACGTAGTTTAAATAAATTAATAAAGAAAGAAATATAATTATAATCTCATAACATACCTGTTTTACTGAATCTGATATCAATACAGTATAGATACAGCATACTCCCGCATACGTAAACAGTAGAGCGAATTCAGCAAAAATACTGAAAAGAGAACATTATTTTCTTAGTGATAAGATCGTTTTTATTAAATTTATTATAAATTATGAGACGACTGTCTATAAAATATATAAGCTATGTTTATACATATCAGTAATTGAGGACATAAGAGCTCCTTGTCGGGAATTTATGAAAGAGGACACTTTAAAACAAACTTTTCCATTGATGTTGACTCATAGCTACCTAATACCTAGGTATGAGATGCTTTCAGTTTAAGTGTCATATTGTGTCCTTAATAAAGCTGTTTAAGATAAGTAGACATATCTTGTCGTAGCCTTAACACATCTATACTAATATTATAAAGAGGAAAGATTTGTACCTATTTTTTATGTTTGTATTTTTGTAATGAATAGGCTCAAAAAGTACTGGGCCGATTTAAAAATTCTTTCACCAATAGAATGCTACATTCTTCCAATTTGACATAGGCTACATTTCATTTTTAAAAAAAATTAGGGATCCTTGGTAAAATTTGAACAATGTATCCGAAGGTGTACCTCGTGTGTTCATAAGTTTTGAGACAAACTTTTTGCTTATAAAAATAAAATAAAAATTACTGGCTGCTGTATATTTCTTTTTCTAATTTTGAATTTGGAATGTTAACTTTTAATATCTATGATTTCGGATTATTTTATTTAAATTTTCTCGTAATGGAGGGAACAAAAGAATTACGTGCGACCGTCATTTCATTATTTAAGGTGGGAAGAAAACCTATGGACATTTTCCGAGAACTGAAAAGTTTTGGTGTGAGCCGTAACTTCGTGTATTACACTATTAAACAATACCAGGAGACAAGTTCTTTACATGATCGGCAAAGAAGTGGTCGTCCACGCTCTGTGAGGACGCCTGCGAACATTAAAATCATCCGAGAGCGACTTCGCCGAAATCCATGTCGCACTCAGAAGAAACTCGCTCTGCAGACCAATATTTCGCGCGTTTCAGTCAACAGAATACTGAAATATGATCTCAAGGTTAAGGCGTATCGCCGTAGAAAAGTACACTTTTTAAACGATCGCCTTCGTCAATTGCGACGCGAACGTGTCTCCTAAGCAGTATTGGACAACAATACTGCTTAGGAGACACGATGCGAGGAAGATACTCTTCACCGACGAGAAAATCTTTACCGTCGAAGAAAAGTTCAATCGACAAAACAATAAAGTGTATGCCAAAAGTAGCAAGGATGTCCCACCTTCAGCACGGAATGTCTCGCGTACTCATCATCCGGCTAGTGTCATGGTATGGTGGGGAGTTTCGTACGAAGGTGTCACTCAGCTTCATTTCTGCCAACAAGGCGTCAAGGTGAAAGCCAAAAATTATCAATGTGACATTCTAGAGACTGTTGTGAAACCCCTGTCTAATACTCTATTGATCTATTCCATAACAAGTATTGGGTTTTCCAGCAAGACTCGGCGCCATCCCATAAGGCTAAAACCACCCAAGCTTGGCTGAAGGAAACGCCTTCATTGCGGCGAACGAATGGCCCTCCTTCAGCCCCGACCTCAACCCGCTGGATTATTCTCTATGGACCGAATTAGAGCTCAGAGCCTGCCGAAAGTCCCACCCAAACTTGGAGTCACTTAAGCGAGCTCTTGTCCGAGAAGCGAAAGGAAATTCCTCTGGAAAAGATTCGTGCCGCCATTGATGACTGGCCAAATCGTCTAAGGGCATGTATTAAAAACAGGGGTGGTCATTTTGAATAATAATTATATTTAATTTTTACTTACTATCTACTTAATGTTTGTTATTGTTTTTATAAATATAAGTTTATTATTTAAAAAGATATGCAACTTTTAATTTGTCTCAAAACTTATGAACACACGAGGTAGAACAATGAGTCTTAAAATGTCTTTCGTCGAATGCGTTGCCGAAACTATTAGCGATAGAACAAAATAATGTACAACAATATTGTGGAACATCATAATGTCTAGAAAAAAACTCCGCGGTAGCATATGTCCAAATTGTAGTTATGTCACTACAACAACCAAAATTTCCAAAAATAAATAATTGTCTACCCCGTGCGAAGCTGGGACGGGCTGCTAGTATTATTATATAACGGAAATTTGAGGCCGCCATCAAGCCACTTGCAATAGGCTGTTTATGATTGTGAACATTTTTAAGAAATTGTGACAGATATAGTCATAAAGACTTACGTAAACTTACATACATAGGCACCAAGATCGTGGTTGAATTGGGCATATAATACTTTTATCTATGTCTCGTTTTGGTAATCATCCACACGATCTAAACTGTTGCATTCGTTGAGTAAGTCTTAAGATAGACTTTTATACATGCACTAGCAATGGTTTAGCTGGTATTCATCGTAGCATGATGTTTTATTGCCTTTGGCTTTCTTCGATAAATGGACAAAACAAAAATTATTTTTAAATGGAGTCTGGAGTTCATGAGATGAGAGCAAATCAAATTAACAAACAATCTCTTCAGCTTTATGTATAGGTACAGATTTTATCATTAACAGACTATAATGCCCACTGCTGAGCAAAGCCTCTTCTCACACGAGAAGACATTAATCACCACGCCTGATAAGTGCGGGTTGGCGATTTTAAACTTATAATTAGAAATTATAAGCCCAGGTTTCCTCACAATGTTTTCCTTCACCGTTTGTCAGTGGTGTCTGAATAATCTTAGAAAGTAAATATAACTCGGAAAAAGTCACATTGGTACTTGCCGTTTACCAACGGGGGTGCGGGTTCGACACCTACCGGTTTCGAACCCGCAAAACTCACCCAGGCCACCATGACACTGTATACAGATACATAACACAACATCACGCCTTTTATCCCCGAAGGGGTAGGCAGAGGTGCACACAGAAGTAACACACACTTTTCATTATTTGTGTTATGAGTCCCATGTAATAGGGGATGAGCCTATTGCCGTATACCGGGCACATTTCCAGACTCCGTGCTACTACTGAGATTTTTTGTATACAGATATAATTATAGATATGTATTTATTTATGTATATAGCTATCTTTACTTTTTTACCTCGCAAAATTCGCAAATCTTCTAGCACCTTTCGGTCCATTCATGAAGGCAGCTTTGCAAGTTTCTGCGTAACCTAGTGAAGGTTTCTTTTCTATAACACAGCATTGTTGCGACGTCCTCACCTGTAATTTTTAGAGAATATAGGTGAATTAGTTTAGGTATATTACATTTTCATTATGTTTTCATTAAATTTGTAGAAGCAGTGGTCAGATGTGTATTGTCTATGTACAGAAGAGAAGTTATATCATTCATGATGCCCTTAAATATAAGGAATGTTCATTTTGTCATAATCGGATTAAAATTCAACAGACGAATAACAACATTTTTGTGCAATAAAGAGTTAATAAGTACTTTGTCTGACCCGAAACCGAAAGCGAAACAACATTGGTTACTGTCATGTTTTCGATCACTCGACAGTCTTTAAATACCAGGGCGGGTCAATAAGTCCGTGACTTTTTGATTTTTCCGCCTCTTAATTGAAATGGCAACACTGCTCCCGTCAACAGTCATCTGTCAGATGACTCCTGCCAAAAATTGAACAAGCTGTGACATTTAGTTTGTTTTTGACAGTCGTTAATATCAGACTACCGCGTTGACTGAGAAGAAAATGGAAAAAAGTGAATTTCGTGTGCTCATTAAGCATTATTTTTTGCGGAAAAAATCCATTACGAAAACCAAGGCTATGATTGATAAATATTATGGGGACTCTGCACCATTCATTTCCATGGTAAAAAAGTGGTTTACTGAATTCCGATGTGGCCGTACCAGCACGGAAGATGCCGAACGTTCTGGAGGCCCAGTTGAGGTCTCCACATCTGAAATAGCTGAAAAAATGCACGATATGGTTTTAGCCGATCGGCGATTAAAAGTGAGAGAGATTGTGGAAGCCATAGGCATCTCGCATGGCTCAGTGGTTTCAATTTTAAACGATTATTTGGGTATGAGAAAGCTCTCCGCAAGATAGGTGCCGCGTTTGCTCACAATCGACCACAAACGCAAGCGTGTGACAATTTCACAGGAATGTTTGGCGTTGTTTAATCGCAATATGAACGAGTTTTTGCGCCGATTCGTAACCGTGGACGAAACGTGAATCCACCACAACACACCGGAGACCAAACAGCAGTCAAAACAGTGGGTTTCTCGGGGTGAATCGGCGCCAAAGAAGGCAAAGGTGGGTTTGTCAGCCAATAAAGTCATGGCGGCTGTTTTTTGTGATGCATGCGGTGTTATCCACATTGACTACCTTCAAAATGGAAAAACAATCAATGGCAAATATTACAGCAACTTATTGGGTCGATTCGATTAGGCATTGAAAGAAAAGCGACCGTACTTGCCCAAGAAAAAAGTCCTTTTCCATCAGGACAATGCACGGGTGCACACATGTGCAGTTTCTATGGCAAAAATCCATGAATTTGGCTACGAATTGCTCCCTCATTCGGCCTATTCTCTCGATCTAGCCCCTTGTGACTACTTCTTGTTCCCAAACTTAAAGAAATGGCTCGGTGGAAAGAGATTTGCCTCCAACGACGAAGTCATCTCACAAACAAATGCCTATTTTAAAGACCTCGACAAAACATATTTTTTGGAAGGGATTAAAAAATTGGAGAAACTTTAGGCTAAGTGTATAGAGCTCAAAGGAGACTACGTTGAAAAATAAAATAACATTTTATCTAAAAAATTGTGTTTCATTTAAAAAGTCACGGACTTATTGACCCGCCCTCGTATTTACTTTTTACATTCGCTTTTTGTTTAACGAGTTAAAAGAAAGAAAATATTTATTGTGAAATTTTGTTGTCGCCTTTATCGTTTCATGGAAATTTTATACACCTTGGTCATGGAAAATATGGATCAAACTCATTCTAAACAACACTTTCGTGAAAATGATAAGACTGCGATTGGTACTGAAATTGTTTTAAATAGCGAATGTATAATCAAAGTTAAAAACAAAGTCTATAATACCATAACATCACGCCTTTTATCCCTGAAGCGGTACGTAGAAGTGCAGATTATGGCATGGCATGGCATGGCGTTGAATGGCATGGCGTTGCATGCCATGCAACGCCATGCAATGCCATGCAACGCCATGCCATTCAACGCCATGCCATGCCACCCCATGCCACACCATGCATCGCCATGCCCTGCCACGCCACGCAATGCCACTTCATACCATGCCATGCAATGCCACCCCATGCAACGCCATCCCATGCCATGCAACGCCATGCCATGACATGCCATGCCATGCAACGCCATGCCATGACATGCCATGCAACGTCATGTCATGTTACCCCATGCCACATCATGCCATGCAACGCCATGCCATGCAACGCCATATCATGCAACGCCATGCCATGCAACGCCATGCAACGCCATGCAACGCCATGCCATGCCATGCAACTACATGCCATGCCATGCAACTACATGCCATGCCATGCAACTACATGCCATGCCATGCAACGCCATGCCATGCCATGCAACGCCATGCAACGCCATGCCATGCAACGCCATGCCATGCCATGCAACGCCATGCCATGCCATGCAACGCCTTGCCATGCCATGCAACGCTATGCCATGCCATGCAACGCCATGCCATGCCATGCAACGCCATGCCATGCCATGCAACGCCATGCCATGCCATGCAACGCCATGCCATGCAATGCAACGCCATGCCATGCATTGCCATGCCATGCTATGCCATGCAACGCCATGCCATGCAACGCCATACCATGCCATGCCATGCCATGCAACGCCATGCCATGCCACGCCATGCCATGCCATGCAACGCCATGCCATGCCATGCAACGCCATGCCACGTCATGCAACTCCATGCAATGGAACCCCATGTCATGCCACCCCATGCCACAACATGCATCGCCATGCCATGCCACGCCACGCAATGCCACTGCATGCTAAGCCATGCAATGCCACCCCATGCAACACCATGCCATGCAACGCCATGCCATGCAACGCCATGCCATGCAACGCCATGCCGTGCAACGCCATGCAACGCCATGCCATGCCATGCAATGCCATGCCATGTCATGCAACGCCATGCCATGCCATGAAACGCCATGCCATGCCATGCAACGCCATGTTATGCAACGCCATGCCATGCAACGCCATGCCATGGAACCCCATGTCATGCCACCCCATGCCACATGCCATGCGACGCCATGCCATGGCATGCCACCCCATGCAACGCCATGCCATGCAACGCCATGCCATGCCACGCCATGCCATGCAACGCCATGTCATGCAACGCCATGCCATGCAACGCCATGCCACGCAACGCCATGCCATGTTATTCTATGCCATGCCATGCAACTTAATGCTACGCCACGCCACGCCATGCCATGTCATGCCTTGCAACTCCATGCCATGCCACGCTAAGCGATGCTTTGCATAGAGTTTTTGAGGACTAATAATGGATATTGTGATACTTTATAGTATTATCCCGCTTGAATTGCACTCATCCGACCATAAGGCTGCCTGTCCATTGACGCGGAGAGGGGCGTTTAAGAAAGCTTGGATCTTATACGATTTATAATTGAAACGGCTGAAGAAATAAGACGCTCATTCAGTTCAAGAGTGACCGTCACAGAGATGACGAAGCACTCATCATAGGGAAGGTCACTTCCGGAGCCGCGGAAGGCCTAACGGGTTAACGGGGCTCCGGCTCGAAGAGCAGTAGTAGGAACAGGGTAGTTTTGAGTCAGTGAGAGTCTGACACTCCCTCTAGCCTAAGCTAAGGTGGGAGAGTCATTGGATGATTTTCCCCCTCAGAAATATTAAAAAAAATTAGTGAAGGTCTCTTTAAACAAAATTGAGAAAAATAATGATGTTTTTTTAAAATTTCCCGGTTTCCTTTACACTGCCATGCCACGCCATGCCATGCCATGCCATGCAACGCCATGAACTTCAAGTTATTAATTTATTTTTGAGAATATTAAAAATAATCTAATGTGTTTGGGTAATTAATAAATCAAGGCAGTTTTTGTAATATAATAGTTTGAACGCTTAGTGTAATATCAATTTCTTTAAATAAATACAGTTTTCTATTGACTAAATTAGTAACTCAAAACAAAATTTGATATTAATTTATTTGCTATTTCAACCATTCAACTTCAGAATGATTTTTCTGCCAGTTCTGGCAGAAAAATCATTCTTTTGACAATAAACTAAATTGACTCATTGACAATAAACTAAAATCACTTAAATCAAACCTTTTTTATTTATTGATGTTTTTGCAGTAAATAAATAGTGTTCGTTTATTTAGCTTTCTTTATTTTTCATTTTCCTCGTTAAGTAGTTTTTAAGTTTTATAGGTTTAAATGTATATATTAGAATAATACTGTATAGGTAAATAAACATGAGTCGGCATGATAAAAAATAAACTAATTGAACTGAAAAATAAAAATAAAGTGCTATCTATATTTACTTATCTTTTTTCCATAACAATTACACTTTTGTAAGTAGAATTTGAAATTAATTTGCAAATACGTGGCTCTGTGACTCATGTTTAAAAAATAATATATGTAACAAATATATGTCTGTTTAACTGTGTAACACGCGAACTTATTTAAAAATAGTAGCTGCGTATACTCACTACCGTGCATTAGATTTTCAGGAGTTCCGGAGAAGGTCTATTAGACCCGGTGCCCCTAACAGGTGGCGAAGGTGACCACCGAGGTGGTTTTAGTGTGGTAAAAATCTCACAAGCCTTCGTTTTCCCCCCAAGAGGCTAGACAGTTTTTGAAGGTATCCCACCGTCATAAAAAAGTTTTCAATAATCTAATTGAATAAATACTTTGATTTACTTTTATAATTAAAGACCCGAATCGCTCTCTTTTGGAGCACGACCTTAAGTAATGTAGATAACCTTGTCGTGGGTGCGATTTCCACAAATTGTTGTTCTGCATCTGGGATATGTATTTGTTTGTTTGTAGACGCATGACATAGAAGAACCCAAGTGTATGTAAACCAACGGTTTAAAAATAATAATAATAAAATATTCTTACTAATATATGAATGCAGTGCCCACATATTACACCGACGAGTAATGTGCCAAACAGTCCAACGCCCCATCCTGCGTTGGAGAACGCCAGTGGACCAGCCAACAAACCAGAGCCCAGGGAGGCTTTGATTAAGTTAGCTGTTGATCGTATATCTCTGAAAATAGCAAAAAATTGTTTTAGAATCGTTAATGCTGTTAGTAATGTAATTAAAACTGATATATTCATAAGTTTTGACCTTATTAAATATATGTACCTACTAGCTGTTGCCTGTGACTTCGTCCGCGTAGAATATGAATTTTAGGACATAACATTTTTTTGTTTTATTTTTTTAAAATAAAAGTAACCTATTTTACTCCTTAGTACAATAAGCTACCCGTCTATAAAAGTCCCGTAATAATCTGTCCAGCCATTCCAGAGATTAGCCAGTACTAACAGACAGACATGCAAAAATTGAAAAAAATGCTATTTTGGTATGTATATTCATATATAAAGTAAAAAGCGGTTATTTGAACATTACACACAATATCATATTAATAACAATAATTATGTGTTTACAAATATAATTACACTGTTTAGTAACTGCATATTATTATTAATGAAAAATCTCTGACGAGGATGCTGCATTGTCATTATTCGATTTTGTATATTAATATTACATTCCTACATAAAATATTTACACATAATATGTAAAAAAAATATTGACTTTAATTAACGTTTACGTCACCTGTAATATTTAACGCAATGACTTTTATTTGTCAAGATAAAATAAAAAAGAAACAAATGATAGAAAAATTACTCACAATTATTTATTTAGGTACATGTTACTAGTTATCATTATTGGAATCAAATTATAACTTACGATGTCGGTTTTTCCACTTTCCTGTGTTCATAGGGGTTGTATTCCGCCTTTACTTCAGCATTTTCGACGCCCATAGTTATTCTAGTTGCATTAAACAATGTCTATAGATATATTATTATAATTATAGTTCTTTAGTACATAAACCACCTTGCTTGATATTAATTACGCTTCAAATACATGTTGAACAATAGCACAGAATTAACACAATTAAATTTGAATTCACAAAACGTTCTATCGTTCGTCGTGTACCGTTATTGTTCACAAAAATACTGAAAATACGTAAACGATCTCAAACAGATTATCCAATATTTTTAAAGATGGTAAGATGCGCGGTTTTCAACAGTTTCCTCAAGGTAGTTTGTGTGTGACATCTAAGAAAATAGTATCATGTTACAATAAATGGCTTTACTAGTGTGCATTATAAAGACGTTTATTGCTTTATATTTGACTGACACTGGCGTAAATCTAGATAGTGTGATAAGGAAACATCTCTGTCAGAATTCACGTGTATGTTTTAATCGATTTAACGAAGGTACGTTTGTTCGGTACGAAACGGTTCGGTGTATTGTATAAATGAGTTCTTTCGCTTTATTTTGTTGTACGGGTGTGTCCTTATCATAACTACAAGGAGAATTTAATTAAAACTATAGATATGAATAGAAGTGCTGGAATTAAATTTAAATTCTATGAGTATTTTATTGTACTACTGGTACCAGGATTAAATGATAACGTGCTTGCTCATACTGAGTTGGGAAAACAACTTAATAGACTATTGAGTAGAAGATTAAATACTTCTCATTTATCTATTTTGATCACTTTGCTACCTTGGTGTTCTTGGGCAATCAGGTAAACATGAATAAAATTTGTAGGTTTTTAGGTAGTTTTGAAAGACTTTTTTTTTTTGTTTTAAGGGGGGAAAATCATCGAATGACTGCTCCCGCCTGGGTGAGGCGGAAGGGAGTGTCAGACTCTTACTGACTAAAAACCACCCCGTTCCTTCTCCTGCACGTCGAGCCGGAGCCCCGGTTACCGTTAGGTTCTCCGCGACGTTTTGAAAGACTTAACAGTGAAAGATAGACTATAGCGAAATTGACCAAAACCTATCTAATTAATAATTAAACAGTGAGATGTAGTCTCCTTGGTCGAGTGGTCGCAAGTGCGACTGCCGGTCAAATGGTTTCGAGTTCGATTCCCGGGTCGGGCAAAGTACTTTTTTTTTTCTTTTTAAAAAAACGTTGCCCCGCACTAGGATTTTCTCCTGTGTCGTGGGTGCGTTTACAAACATACAAGTTCACATACACAATGACACCCAGACCCGAAACAACAATTTGTGTTTTACACAAAGTGTTGTTCCGTGCGGGAATCGAACCCGCGACACGTTGCACGGCAGCCAGTTGCCCAGCCACCGCACCAACCGTGCAGTACTACGGGGTTTAAAAAAAATTCTTAGTGGTAGCACGGAGTCTGGAATTGTGCGCAGTAAATGGTAATAGGCTCACCCCCTATTACATGGGACTCATAACATAAATAGTGAAAAGTAGGCATTACTTTGTACAGTGGCATTAAGTGCCGTAACGTACACTTCTGCCTACCCCTTCGAGGATAAAAGGCGTGATGTTATGTTATGTTATGTAGTTTCCTTACGTTTGTGTTCATGTCATACATTTTAAGGTAATTTAGATTAATGTTGAAATAAAAATAAAATTACATTTAAGTATATCGTTTATTTCGTAAAAAAATTAAATAACAGGTAACTCTCACACACTATGGGAACAGTTTTAACCGTAATTATATTATTAAGCTACTATACATGTACAATTCACGTAAAAATCTTACAATAATAATTTTGATGATTTCTAGAAGTACATTTGTTACAATAACTTCTGAATACTTACGTGTTATAACCAAATAAATATTATTTAACTTAATAATGTTCTTAAAGTCACAGAAACTAATGGACAAGTGTCTAACAGTTGAGTTTGAGTTGAGTTGGCAGATACATTTAACTATTGCAAATAATAGTTAATGTTCTGCAGCATGGTAAACTGCAAATATGAAATTGTATGTCAAAATACATTTACATATCTACTAAGAATTAACAGTAAGTAATGTATAGTAATTAGAATAACGAATGTTGATTGGATAGATAAAGTTCCTAATACAACATTGTATATATCTTATTCTTAGTTTTTTCGAATAGAAGTACTATATTCGATGTTAATGTTCGTATACTTCGTAATTACGTTTTTCGTGCCACCAAGGGTTTCGGCTAGAGTGAATGTAGGATTTTGGCCTTCCAGCAATGTAGGGGATTGCGGTTTGTTTAGGGAAGTTGATGTAGCTCTGCACAGTGGGTATCGAGTTCCTAATAATAGTTCCAGGCCTGAAGGTGCTGGCTATCTCCGGCTGAGGAGATGAAACTGGAGAGAACAGCGAAAGAGAACCTCCCTGAATGGTCAGGGGGTTCGCAGTCACTCCCAAACCTGTTTCGTAGATCGAGTATGAGGGCTGCTGAGGAATCACACTAGTTTGTTGAACTGGTTTGACGGTCTGCAAAAGCTGAGGAGCAGCCTGGCAAACAGTTTCTTGAACCAGAAGATCAATAGGAGCAGTGTACACTCTGAAGTTGATGTCGCTGTAATCTAAAGTAGATTCAAGGAACACTGGCATCCTGTCGGACATCACCCACACATTCCTTTGAGCGTCAATTTTGACATCGCTAGGGAAAATAAGACCCGCGTCGTCTTTGTCTACCACAGCAATGTTTTGTGGTTTATAAGGTAGATCTTGCCTCCAGCATCCAATAGCATTTTGGTCAATCAAATTGAACAATTCAATTCCAGTATATTCATCCATCACTTTAGAGGTAGTGTGGCCGTTAGCACCTCGTTCACCGACAACTTGGAAGTCGCGGTATGATCCAGTTACTTTTGATTCATCGCGTAAAATCCGAGTAGAGACAGCAAACTGAGTGTGACTAGCCAAGGGGCTGAAGTAGAGCGTTCTGAAACCATCTGGTCCCGCAGGAGAAGCAGTGATTCCGAAAATTCCTTCGGCACTCCATTGGAAGTTCAAGCCGGCGATGTTGAAATCTCCAGTCAGAGGGTCGGGCATGAAGAATCCATGGCTAAATCTCCACGACCTGTTTTGTTGCCATGAGTAGGCTATGAGACCGTAGCCGAGCTCGTCGGAGAAGTAAGCGAAAGTATCATCACAGGTTCTTCCTTCGTCGAGAGCAATGTTGGCAATGAATGTAGATGAAACAATGTCTTCAGGACGGAATACATATCTTCGGATGCGTTGGTCAGTGTTCAGATCGTAAATGTTGAGCGAGTATGGGCAGAGGTTGGTTACGTTGGCATCTGGAAACAATTAATTATGCGTAATTGAATTAGGTACTTGATTACAGCACTTACATTCCGACAACGCTTAATTGATATTGTTTAATGTAAAGCAATTAAGGTTAACGCCTAGCAGAAAAGTGAAACTACTTAAATGAAGGAACTGCTTATCGCGATGTGTTTTATTTATTCATATGATTACATTGCACTAAATATATGGTATATAGCCTGTTCACTTACCATATCCGTATGTACCAACATCGAGGACCCAGAGACGGTCACATTTGTCGACCTTTATCCTGTATACTGTGTTCAGACCGGTCTGGCAGTTACCCAACTCGTTGCCTGCAAAACTTGGGTAGGGGTTCAGTTTTGGAGACGGATCGTAGGGGGCATCCAAAGGTATGTAGTTCAGTGTAGCGGGAATACCTGGAAAATATACGATTGTGTATATTTCAATACCTATTTACATGTTTATAATATACAACATATCATTCTGATCGGTTTGTGTATAAAAATGAAAAAATTAGCAATGTATAACTCTCTAGTACTATCCATGTATCTAGTCTAGGCGCTAAACTATGAAAATAAGGAAATGGTTACAAATCTTTCTGACCATCTTCAAATAGTTGTGGTTTTAATAGGAAATTCTCATCCGGTTCAACTTCCGTAATGTGTTTCTACGCTAACCAAGAACTTACAACGTATCTATGAATAAATATATGTTATAAAATGAGTTACCTAATCAAATTAATTACTACGAAACCTTGAGTAACTATACATTTACTTTAAAAATAATTTCGTTATTTGAGGAAACAGTAAAAGGTAAATTAATGATATCTAACGACAATTTTGTGAACATGAGTCATAAACGTAGATTTATACGGTAGATACCGACACATTAGAAAAGTAACTTGTTGTACTCCACAAAATAAAGTAGGCCACCGACGAGTTTGTAGTATGTTTCAAAATAATAACTTCGCTCCCATTAATCTCAGCTATATTTGAAAAGTGGGTCTCAAAATTAATGTTAATTAAAATAGAAATGGATATAACTATATATGGTGGACTCAGTTTGATCACCCAGTATGGTAATGGGAGCATTTTCTCAACATACAGTCATACAGACCTCGTATTACGATGATGACATAAAATATCTTCCACACGCAAAGAGAAATGCGTGACGGAAGTTTCTGATGGCTCTGTATAATTGACGTTCTTATGTTATTAAGCTATGCTATCTCAATATTTACCAACATTTCGCAGTGTAGAAAAAATGAATTGTGATTAGCGAACGAAATCTTGATGAATTTGCAGTTTTGTTGACCTGAATATTTTACTAGCTATATAGAGATTTAAAGCGCTAAATAAATCTTGATATTACACTAAATCTTATTGTGACGTTAGCCATTAACTTTTATAACCGCGATAATGTGTAAAGGAGCCAAAAATGTCAGACAAAAAAGACTGATGTCTACACTAGATTTAACTTGAATTAAGATTAAGATAAACGTTGCAATATTTTGTATAACTTCAAGGAAACTTACCCGCCTTCCACCTAGGTACGCTGACGAAGAGTTTGTTCCTCCACCTCTCAATGCCGACAGGGAGAGCATTCTCCTGAACGAGAGCTCCAGATTGTATGGCTTGCTGTCTTGTGTAAGGGTCAGGGTAGTTCCAGTCCATCACATTCCAAGAGAACATCTCTTGGAGTTTTACAGCGGCTGTCGCGCTTGACACCACGGCTAGTAACACCAGAAGTTTCGTAGCCATGTTGGATATCTGGGAAATAATAAGGAAAATAATTGAGTTTAGTTCAGCATGATTAGTAGGAACAAATAGTGATCAGGTAGTTTGAGGTTGTGGGTCTATTATAATCAAAGTTGGTCTCTCATTTATCTTTCAACCTGTCTCGAATGATTTTCTTCACCACATTAAGTAGCAATGTTGTTATTATAACATCAAGTGAAATGCATAGAACCAGTATTTGGTACCCGTGTACTTCAAATTTTATATCGAGGCCAGTTACGTAGGACCATGGGTATTGCAACCAAGTCGAAGGGCCCAAGTGAGGGATTACGGCCAGTCATATTTCAGAAAGGTGTGACAGTTATGGATATGTTTATAGGTTGATTATGTAGATGGAGTCATACCAAAATTTAAACAGGATTGAGGTTAAGGTTGTCTAATAAAAAGTGTTGTGTATAAGTAACTATTATGATAACGTATTATTATTTACATATTACGATAATTATGTTATGAGAACTGCACGCATGGGTGCTTTCATTTGGTAATGCTAATTGCCTTTAAGTATAGATCTACTTAGTATTTTGAGCCTATTACAATTGTTAGAGCTAATTGGTCCGATTAAATATTTACAGCCTACAATTCAATTGTACCTCTATATATGACCACGATGCATGTATTTAATTACAGCACAACAGTTAATATAGACAGATATAATAAACTACTTGTGTCCGAGAACTGACTTTGAGATATGACCTATTTTTTAACGTCTGATGACAACTTTAGTTTTTTGTTTTATTCTATTTTCGAACACGTTTTTGAGGCATTTCCCGTTTATAGACAAGATCCGTTTACGTCCGTGGTTTGAAGGAAACCGGTTATGAATGTTAGCTAACCTTTGCTGCCCTTTTCTTATTGTTACATTACTTTAAAGTGGGTAAGTGGATTACTGGCTTGTTCCATCACTCATGGCTACTAGTGCCCTATAAGTGGGTGGAACCGATTGCTCTAAGACATTGTACAATGTTTACATTAAGAAGTATCATGTGAGAACAACAAACATTTGAATAAGGTCGTTGAGCTTATTGTTTGATTTATTTTGAATTTAAAATATGAGCTGTCAATTGGAACTTTCTCTTTGGTTCTTCTTATAGTTTCGGCTCGGTTTTTGCGTATTTATGAATATTTAAGAAACTTAATCTTAATATCGATTTTACCTGCGGTAAATGGGCGTGTGCCTGGCTTCGAGTTAAGAAATTTTCTAATAGAATATATTGTTATACTGCCTCGTATGAATGAATATTTGTGGTTGAAAGTTTGATGGCCGACAGAGATCTTGAATTTAATATCCAAATTAGATAGTAACTTTGACTTTAGACTTACGTACTGCTAACGAGTACTAGACACATTGGAATCAAGATAGCAGTGAATTTAATTACCAAGTTACACTATAGCGCTTAGGTCTTTGAAAGGCACAAAAATGAGATTGTCTATCTGTAATCGAAGTTCTAAATGATTTGTAGATGTAATGTCCATTCAAAAGAGGAGGAAGGAATTAAAATGGTTCATATTACGTAAAGTTGCGATGGCAGTTTTTGGTGTAAACTCAAACAAAGAGAAAATGAGATACAAAATGCAAGCATTAAATAAAAACAATCTTTTGACTAGATTAGGCCTTCACTTAATTTAAAGACGTTCTTAATGAGGGCGTAAATTAAAGTATTGTAAAGATGTTAAAATTATCACTGGTTTGCAAAAAGGCTTGCATAACTAATTTTACTCGTTAACACATTATTTTGGTAACGTAATTTAGTTTTTATTGTTAATAAAAATAAATGCCTAATTACATAACACTGAATTTTGAGTTAAATCGTTTGGCGTCTAAATTTTAAATAAATTTGTTACTTAATTTTTACAGTTTTAGTGATACATTGAATTTTTGAAACTATTCATTTTTTATAAAATGGGCATGTCCCAGTATATCCTGGGTGTAAAACCCCTGGGTTTTACCTGGGTTTTTTAGGGTCCTGACCCTACTGAAATCATTTTCAGGATGGCTTCAGTTTATAAAAGGTCGTAACTATTGTATATTGCTGTACGACCAATATTTAGTTAACACATTTTTTAATGAAGTAACATTTTTAGATAGCTTTTTTAAAATGGCTTGTAAATAAAAAATAACTAGAATTAATTTTAAATTATCTAAATCTTAAAAAAAAACAAAAATATTAATAGTAAAACCACAAAAATATAAGAGCACCCTCACACACGTGAACACAAATTAATCTTCAAAAATCCAAGCAGCAATTTCACTTTTTAAAAATCTAACGTTCGAAATTCAAAGCACGAAAGATTAAAAACGAAAATTAAAAAAAAAGTGTAAAACCTACATGGTTGTCCGAATGTGGCCAATGTTCGCGACAGTTGGTAGTGAACTGAAATGATAACATCCACCCCTACTATATAAAACATAGCCTCCGCTCCGGCGGCGTCCTACCATCGGCTACCAAATCGCCGTAGACCTACGAACGGTAATCTCAAAATAGATAAGTATCTGATTAACATTACATTAATTTTAATTTGAATATTACAGGCTCAGTGGGTTAGTAGTTACATAGCAGCTGTTGGATATGACATCTGAGGTTCGATTCTCGCGTAGGATATCATAATAATTGTAACAATTTTGAGAATATTAAAAATATTCCGAGAATTTACTGTATAGTAACAAATGAAAAGAGATTTATTTGTATAAGTCAAACGTTTTGGAGATGAGCAAAGACTATGTGACCTTATGATTGACATATTTAGGCAATCTATGTAATACACAGATTACTTAGTAGTTAGGTTATAGCCTGAATTTTATCCGACTTGAAAAAAAGGAGGTTCACTCGCGGAATGCTACTCATGAGCCTATCGTCGTTCGTCGTTTCTTTGTTTTTGGTTTACTGTTCTGTATTACCTATTAGTATTTGTATTTATTTCTTCTTTACTTTTTAATGTTGTATTATTTTTGTATCTGTGTGCGAATTGTCGAATAAATGCTTTGTCTTTCTTTCTTTCAAAACGAATCGAGTTTCTCGTCAAACAGTTACGTGAGTAAGTCAAAGATTAAAGTAATTAAGGAGGTTCTCATTACAGCTTGTATGTATGTATGTTTGTGCGTGTTTATCTCGCGATCGGCTGAACCGATTTTGTTGCGGTTTTCAGAAAAGAGTTTGTTACGCTTAGGAGAAGGATTAAGTATTTATATTAAATAATTGACATTATAAAAATAGGGGTTGTTGGTTTTTTAAAACGTAGTTTAGAAACGACTCACCCCCTATTAGATGGGACTCATAACATAAATAGTGAAAAGTGGGTGTTACATTGTACAATAGCATAATGTGCACCTCTGCCTATCCCTTCGGGGATAAAAGGCGTGATGTTATGTTATGTTAGTTTAGAAACAAATTATAATTACAAATATAGGTACCTAATGGAAGGAATTTTTTGCAACCATAATTTATTCAGTTTGTATAAACATGCAACTAATCTACCTATAACGTAACTCTTAGTTGATGTTTGTCATCGCAGTTTTATTAACGCATTTGCATAGAGAAAATTAGAATATGGATATAGTATCGTTAGTTAATATCGACAAGAACATGTTTCATGGAAACTTTAGGTGAAAAGTGGTCATTTAAAAGCGTGATTAGCTCAATTGGGATGATGACAGGGTATGAAAATAAAAAATCTAATTAGTCCGTAAGTTAGGTAATGAAAAAATATTAAGCACGTATTTTTTATTTTGTCGTATAATAAAACAATACTTAGATAAAAAAAATCAAAGTTTAGGAGTGGGGGTTAAGACGTCATTTCTACACGTATAAAATGTACATAGAAGTCGTGACGTCACGCGACATTTCAAATCAATATATCGTCGAAAGTATTCGTTTTTGTAAGAAAATAAAAAATACGTGTCTAATGATTTGAAATAATCTACCAGATGGACATTAAAATAAAAATTAGACATCTATCCTATTATGTTAGTTGTAGTTGTTTTGTGTCCCGACATATTGGGAACACCAAAATTATAGTTAAGTATTCAAAATTGTCAATTTTTCTTCCAGATGTTCTTCATACTGCTTGCAGCTCCAATAGAGAATATTAAGGTCTAATTGAAACATGAAATAATCATTAAAATTCATATGTTCAGATATAATTAACTAATACCCACACATTGTTAATAGTTTTTAATAATACATTCAAACTAGGAATCTTTCTATGTCGTTGTGTTTAAAAAGTCAGATTTTATATTTCACACGGAACAACAATCTATGAATAATATAAACGATTGTTCTTAGCGGGAATCGAACCCACGACACGTTGCACAGCAGCCAGGTATCCAGGCACTGCGCCGTACGAGCAGTCATTAATTAATTATGTATACATAATTAATATTACCTACATATTTAAGATTCACTTTTTTATCGGTATATTTAATAGGTTTCCATTAACTTCTTATTCCAACTTCCTATTTTCCTATAATTTACTTTATCTGACGAACTTTTTAAGTGTAATTGACATCTTAATAGGCACAGTGCATATTAATATTAATAAGTCTAACTTAAAAATTACACTGTATCTTCATGGCAGTTTGCCTGGACTTATTGCACTATCAAGTATTTTCTTAAATGAAGTACTACGTACTACAAGATAGTTTCAAAATTAATAGTGTACCTAATATTTTAAATATTAGGTACAACACTATTAATTTTACTAATTAACCCTTTTTTACCATTTAGCACAGCACTATTTAATGTGACACATCACTCTGTTTTCTGCTCTCTATGGTATAATTGCCCATTAAAGTACGCTGCAAAAATTTCTTCTATTAGGTATTTAAAACAATAAATCAATAAATAGCACACACACACACATTTTTTTAATTTTTTTTTTATTATAAATTTAGAACATAACGTCATTTAAATAAATCTAAATGTTTGCCTTACGTACTTTTTCTGCACAGAAACACATTTATTCGACTTATGTTTTTTTTCTAAATCTTAGAATTAGAAACGTTGTAGGCATATTTCGTAACGAGCATTTAAAAACTAATAAAAACGTCTGAGTAATTTAATGAGTTGTAGTTTTTTCTAACTGTCTCTATGATTAGATAAGGCTTTAAAATTATAGACGAAATCAAAAATATATAAAAAAAATGCAAATTAAAATGAAGTTAATTGCGTTGATAATAAAGTTGACAATTCTATTATTGTCTATTCTATTAGAATTAGAGGTGCGCGGCATGCGTTTGTGCCAGATATTTGCGTTGCTCGGGCGCACTTCATCAACACCTCGTGATCGTGACTAGTATCTGCATTGTAGTCTAAATCACGTTAAACGCATGATAAAACGATGCAATTTCGCCTAAACACGTTAAGACGGTCAGTACCCATTCCGTTGTGCTTGACTTAATAGGATTTTGACATTATTTTAGGTAATTATCCTACATTATAATTATGTATGTGATTTTATACTGTAACATTTTTATAAGTTGTCGACTGCCTCGTTGGCCGAGAGGGCGCAAGTGCGACTGCCGGGCGAGGAGTCTCGGGTTTGATTCCCGGGTCGGACAAAGTATTACTGGGTTTTTAAAAAAATCTCAGTAGTAGCACGGAGTCTGGAAATGTATCCGGTATATGGCAATAGGCTCACCCCCTATTACATGGGACCCATAACATAAATAGTGAAAAGTGGGTGTCACTTCTGCCTATCACTTCGGGGATAAAAGGCGTGATGTTATGTTATGTTACTTTTATAAGTAACTTTAAGTTAACTTTAAACACACCGATGTAAATAAAGAAATAGGAAGATATAAAATGTATGTCCGTTAACGGATGCAAATAGAATTAATAAAAAATTTACGATGTAAGCAAAGTTTTGAGGTAAAACGATTAACAACGTAATAAAATAAAACTGCGGAACAGATATGGGTGTTAACTATTAATCGTAATACTTCCCAAATAGTAAATTAACCTTAATGGTGTTAGTACTAAAGTTTTGTATTGTTACGTGACAAGAGATAGAGATATGGTCGCGACCTAGGTCAACACAGAATAACTTGCCAAGTGATTTGAAACCCAACGTAACATGTTCGGACATTCTAAACACGTAACTAGTTTATACATATGCATCTCTTTTTTTTCTAATTCAATGTTCGGCTCCTACACAGTCGTCCAAAGATGTGCTCAATTTATATAATTTTAAAGTCTTATGTGAATGTTATTATAATAATATGCCGCTAACGGGAAAGTTTTTTAGGAAGCTATTGATAATGTATCCGCTGATTTGAGTATAATTGGTAATTTGATACATTTTTGAAAATGTTTGTAGGTATATTAAATTAAAATTTTTGATCTTTACGTTTTGGTTTTATCATTTTTACTTCTAACAATGGATTTGTCAAAACGCTTTTCATATGGTTTAAAACCATGTTAAAATTGCGCTAATATAATCAATATTTGTTTTACATCCTCACCCAGTTACTCATTACATTAAGAACCAGTAGGATGTTATTATTTTTGTCTGTCGTCTTTAATTCAATTGTCTTATGCAACTCACATAATACCTAATGCAAATGTTTATCAGTTTTTTTTAAAACTAGTCTCCTAGACACGGAGTCGTCGCATCAATTATAAAATTACTAGCTTTTACCCGCGGCTTCGCTCGCGTCACAAAAGGATAAAAAGTAGCCTATGTGACATATACCAATACACATAGCGCCATCTATACCAATAATTTCGTTTTTCCGAGAGATTATCAAATTTTTCGGGGATAAAAAGTACCCTATTATTTAATCCAGACTTCTAACTTCACGTCTGCCAAAATTCAAAGCAATCGGTTTAGTAGTTACGGCGCGAAAGTGGAATAAACAAACAAACTCACTTTCCGATTTATAATATTAGTAAGGATAAGACATCTGATTATTTTTGAAAGATATTGTACATAATATTTTTTTTTATTTAATTCAACTGCATACAACAAGTGTGTACAGGCGGACTTAATGCCTTGGGCATTGTCTCCCAGTCAATCTTTAAGCAGTGCAGAGATGAAAGTAGCAGGTGATTTAAACCTTTATAAATAGGCAATGTAGTACCAGTATAATAAATAACAAATGAAATAAAAAAATATAGTTGATATTCCAAAGCTTCAAATTTGAAATAAATAATCTCTTAACCAACGTCAATCTAATGTAATTAAGATCAAAGTTAGGTAAACAAAATTATTCTAACCGACGCAACTTGATATAGCCAATAGATTGGTGATATTCAGGGGCTGGTAGATATAGATCGCGTATATCATTAGAATATAAAATACTAAATTATTGCAAATTAACTGTATGAATAATTATTTTTATTGGCGCGTGTTTGAGCTATAAAAATTTCTCAACTGTATTTGTGACAGAAAT